GCCCGCTCCTGCAAGCGCTGTTCCAGAGCCCGCTCCTGCAAGCGCTGTTCCAGAGCCCGCTCCTGCAAGCGCTGTTCCAGAGCCCGCTCCTGCAAGCGCTGTTCCAGAGCCCGCTCCTGCAAGCGCTGTTCCAGAGCCCGCTCCTGCAAGCGCTGTTCCAGAGCCCGCTCCTGCAAGCGCTGTTCCAGAGCCCGCTCCTGCAAGCGCTGTTCCAGAGCCCGCTCCTGCAAGCGCTGTTCCAGAGCCCGCTCCTGCAAGCGCTGTTCCAGAGCCCGCTCCTGCAAGCGCTGTTCCAGAGCCCGCTCCTGCAAGCGCTGTTCCAGAGCCCGCTCCTGCAAGCGCTGTTCCAGAGCCCGCTCCTGCAAGCGCTGTTCCAGAGCCCGCTCCTGCAAGCGCTGTTCCAGAGCCCGCTCCTGCAAGCGCTGTTCCAGAGCCCGCTCCTGCAAGCGCTGTTCCAGAGCCCGCTCCTGCAAGCGCTGTTCCAGAGCCCGCTCCTGCAAGCGCTGTTCCAGAGCCCGCTCCTGCAAGCGCTGTTCCAGAGCCCGCTCCTGCAAGCGCTGTTCCAGAGCCCGCTCCTGCAAGCGCTGTTCCAGAGCCCGCTCCTGCAAGCGCTGTTCCAGAGCCCGCTCCTGCAAGCGCTGTTCCAGAGCCCGCTCCTGCAAGCGCTGTTCCAGAGCCCGCTCCTGCAAGCGCTGTTCCAGAGCCCGCTCCTGCAAGCGCTGTTCCAGAGCCCGCTCCTGCAAGCGCTGTTCCAGAGCCCGCTCCTGCAAGCGCTGTTCCAGAGCCCGCTCCTGCAAGCGCTGTTCCAGAGCCCGCTCCTGCAAGCGCTGTTCCAGAGCCCGCTCCTGCAAGCGCTGTTCCAGAGCCCGCTCCTGCAAGCGCTGTTCCAGAGCCCGCTCCTGCAAGCGCTGTTCCAGAGCCCGCTCCTGCAAGCGCTGTTCCAGAGCCCGCTCCTGCAAGCGCTGTTCCAGAGCCCGCTCCTGCAAGCGCTGTTCCAGAGCCCGCTCCTGCAAGCGCTGTTCCAGAGCCCGCTCCTGCAAGCGCTGTTCCAGAGCCCGCTCCTGCAAGCGCTGTTCCAGAGCCCGCTCCTGCAAGCGCTGTTCCAGAGCCCGCTCCTGCAAGCGCTGTTCCAGAGCCCGCTCCTGCAAGCGCTGTTCCAGAGCCCGCTCCTGCAAGCGCTGTTCCAGAGCCCGCTCCTGCAAGCGCTGTTCCAGAGCCCGCTCCTGCAAGCGCTGTTCCAGAGCCCGCTCCTGCAAGCGCTGTTCCAGAGCCCGCTCCTGCAAGCGCTGTTCCAGAGCCCGCTCCTGCAAGCGCTGTTCCAGAGCCCGCTCCTGCAAGCGCTGTTCCAGAGCCCGCTCCTGCAAGCGCTGTTCCAGAGCCCGCTCCTGCAAGCGCTGTTCCAGAGCCCGCTCCTGCAAGCGCTGTTCCAGAGCCCGCTCCTGCAAGCGCTGTTCCAGAGCCCGCTCCTGCAAGCGCTGTTCCAGAGCCCGCTCCTGCAAGCGCTGTTCCAGAGCCCGCTCCTGCAAGCGCTGTTCCAGAGCCCGCTCCTGCAAGCGCTGTTCCAGAGCCCGCTCCTGCAAGCGCTGTTCCAGAGCCCGCTCCTGCAAGCGCTGTTCCAGAGCCCGCTCCTGCAAGCGCTGTTCCAGAGCCCGCTCCTGCAAGCGCTGTTCCAGAGCCCGCTCCTGCAAGCGCTGTTCCAGAGCCCGCGGAGAGAGTTGCGGCCGACCTAGCCGCTAAAGATGTTCTGCAAGCTGTTTCTGCTCATCTGGAGATGCCGGTCATCATTGCGGCCAAGGCCCTTTCTAATTACCTGTCTTGTCGCGATTCTTAAACCCCCTGTCTGTCCTGCCTTGTCCTCCGCATCCAAGCCTGTCCCTGTGAGCGCTGCACCCGAGCCGGTCGCCGTGAGCACCGCACCCAGTCCTGCCCCGTCACCTGCCATGTCCCCCGTCAGAAGTCCCGTTACCTCATCCTCCGTGTCCTCTGTGTCTGAGTCTGTTGCTGCAGCATCCCCGACTGTTTCCCCGTTCGTCCCTGTCCCTGTCGTCACTAGTCCCCGGACTGTTCCCCCTGTCACCACGAAACCCCGGACTGTTCCGCCCCAAGTCTCGTCCTCGTGTGTCTTCCGCCAGACCTGCCCTGAGTTCTTGTCCTCAGCCCTCATCCCATGGACCCAAGACCCCCAGTCCTGCCATCCACCCTGGACCACCCCCCATGAACTCTGTGTTTCCTCCACCTCCTTTGCCTTGTATGTTGTTTTTGATGTTTCACCCTAACCCTGTTATTGTTTATTCATGTATGCCGCTTTTTGTGTTTTCCATGTTTTGTTGGTTTTTGTCAGTTTTTGTCAATGTCTCGTTCCGTCTTGTCTTGTGCTTAGTGTCCCTTTGAGGAGCGTCTGGTAGCCGCTCCTTAAAGTGGGGGTTCTGTCATGAGTCTGCCATCATGTTATTGATTATTCCTAGTCTTGTGGCAGGATCACGACAGAACCAATGTTTTGTGTACAAGCGCATGGCCAATTGTTTGGCCATGTGCTTGTGTTGTCTCGTCTCTTAACCCCGCCCCCTTGTTATCCTGATTCAGTCTTTATTGCTTCACCCGTGTCACCTGTTATGTCTTGATTAGTCTCCTTATTTAATCACCTTGTGTTTGCTGTCTTGTGTCGGTTCATTGCCAAACGTTACTTGTGAGTATCTTGTGAAAGTCTTGTCATGGAAAGTCATTGTAGGTCTAGTCATTGTTAGTATCTCTCGAAGTGTTTGTTTTCTAGTATTTTGTCAGTGTCGTTGTCTAGTTAGTCACCAGAGTCCTGTCTTGTTTTGCCCCCTCGTGGGCTTTGTTTTCCCCTTTTTGTCTTCAATAAATTGTGTGAAGAGCATTCAGTCTGCTTTTGGGTTCATCAATCTGCATCCATCGTAACGCCTACAGAATAATTTCAAAAGATGACATCTTAAAAATATTTTCTATTCAATCTGAAAAAAAGAAGCTTGCTCCAACTGTTTGAAAATGATTTTCTTTGGCAAATAAATTACACATTCAACCAAATGTATTTATTTATGGTGACTAAAGTTAAAAATACTTTGTGGGAATTATTAGCACAATTTTCAACGTGAATCAATTTTTCAAATGTTTTCAGTGTACTGTATATGGTATAAGTTGAGACTGCCATACACTCAAAAAAATGAACTAGGAAGGTTGTGCACTTTACATAATATATTTATATTTAGTTTACTTATAATAATTGTGTTTTTTGACTTGAAATGTTTTTTTCTAGTAAGGTCCACGTAATTATGTCTCAACTTAACAGTACAAAATCCTAATGCGTTGCCTAAACACAAACCATTTATGTTAAGTGAAAAATTCTTACATCCAGAGGGTGGCAGTATAGTGCGAGCCAACTGCCATTTTGCCCGAACTTAATTTGATTGTGTTCAATCTGCTTAAATATATGTAACATTTAAGTTTACTTAATCCACTTGTGTTGGATTACATGATTGATTTGTGTTGCATTAACTAAAACTGGGCGGTGCTTGTTAGTGCCCAGCATGCTTTGCATATGGTTGAATTAAGAGAGAATAAATGTTAAAATTAAGTGTTAATGTTTTTTTGTTGAGAAAATGACAAAAGGGGAAGACTTGATAGTGTGTAATTGTGTTTAATGTTCAATTACATTTGAATTATTAGCACCATTTAAATTACAGTGGGTTACCATTGTGGAGAAGAGTGGAGCATTTTGTTTGTCTGTGGACTGATTTATTTATTTCAACTGTTTGGTTGAGCATGTTAATCTTAGCATTTAAGATGCTAATATGTGCTCCTGCTAGCAAATAGCTAGCTATAGTCTAACAATTTAATTATGTGTTACTAAAATAAATGAAATATTAATGAATGAATGAATATAAAAAATACCCGAATCATGTCAGGAAGCCTTTAAAAAATCACTTTGAGACTACTTTAATAGGGTTGCTTAAAATGACTTAATTCCATGATGTTGAAGTTACATGAACAAATTATGTTGAAGTTAAATGAACAAATTATGTTGAAGTTACATAACAAATTATGTTTGTTTAACATAACCTAGTTATGTGGAACCTGTTGACGAAATAAAATTAAGTAAAGCCAACATATCATTTTTTTGAGTGTACATTTCCATGGTGTCTTTAGTTTGTGCTTAGCTCCTAAAAATGTGTATTCTGTACGCAAACAAGTTTTCACAGAATTAAAACAAAATGCCTTTTATCTGACATTCCTGGACAACTGGGTTTCACTCTGTGCCATATCACAAAATAATTTATCATGAAAGTATACGGATGCAAAAATACAACAATAAAGTTAATATAACCCCTATTAATGCGTGTGCTGTATGAAATGGCAGATTCCTTAGAGGTTCCTTGGGGAAAGCAAGGAAAAGAGCGAGATGAGTTTATACAGTACAACAGACCTAAGACGCTGTGTAGGTGGTGAGTGGGTAGTCGGAGCAGAAGGTCACACACACAGATCTGAAGGCTGGACCTGAACAAGCGCGAGCAATCACGTTGTCATGGCAATGAGATACGCTGAATATTTGTCTCTTTCTCATACAGTACTACTGTACAACAAAACATTGTCATTTAAAATACAACTTTATTTATCATTTAATGAAGATTATATTTCGCATACAATACCTTTAGATACTATTATTGACAAAGTCTCACTGAAAAGTCACAGCCATTAAACGAATCTATCAGTATAAACACACAGTGGGTGTTGTCGCTGCATACACTCAGTAGTAAACGCCTCCCCCAATGAGACTTTATTAACGTGTTGATTCTTCGCGCTATCGGGCAGTGGGTCGATTTTTTTTTTCTCACAGGAAAAAATCGCAACTTCTCTTCCCACGCAAAAATCTCAAGGCGTTTTCAATTCTTTAAACAGTTGTGAGGGCAGAATATCACCGAGTCTCCAGCTTCTGCTGCACGCGACGTAACCACGGGCTACAGAGATAACACTCGGGAAGAGCTACAGAGAAATGGTAAGTCGTGTTGTTTTAAAATGCAATGTGTCTAAATATAGGCTAATACAAAATGCAAACATTTAATTTAGCTGAGCTAGGATGAGGCATCAAATAGTATCTTTCTTTCTTTTTTTTTTTTTTTTGTTATAAAAAAAACCTATCATAAGTTCACAAATAGCCTACAACATCAGTTCTCTGTTTTCTCCTGAGTTTGTGGTGTTCTGGTGTGATCACCAGTTGCTGATCTGTTAGTTTACTATTGGACGGTGGAAAGGACAGGAGCGAGATTATGGTGTGGGTCAGCTTTGTAGTGCTCACCTGGGGTGTTTGGATTTATGCTGATTTAAGATCAGTGATCAGACCACCAAGTAGGGATCAATGGAGTAAAAACTGGCCCTAGATCAGGCCAAAAGGTATGTTTTGTACCTCTAGTGTCTCTCAGTATGGGGTCACAAAGAGGGTGAGAGAGTCAGGCTGTATTATAAGCTGTTTCATGTGTGTTTGGCACAAGTTGAGCTTTACCTGTGGCCACTTCAGTCCAGTATCTCCAGCACTAGCCCACTGCAGAGCAACCATGAGTGGTGAGTGAACCCATCTCAAGGTTTTATACTGTAGATTAGTTAGGAAAATATTCTTAAGTAATTGAAGTGGAATTGCTGGGTGATTGTTTACTTACTAAATCAATTTACTAAAAATTTAAAATGGATCTTGTTCTAAAGTTTTTCTTCTTGATGTGCTATGAGGTGTTCTTATTTTTCTTGATGTGCTATGAGGTGTTCTTTTGACATTAGACAAGCAGTCATTTGGTCAGTTGTCTGTATGATGCTTGATTTCTTTTTGTTAGCCAGTCCATAATTTCTGGATATTTTTCTAGTTTTAAAGCAATAATGCACTGCCAAAATGAAAATTCTTTCATTGTTTACTCATTGTTCTTTCATTTATTTTTCCCTTGGAACAAAAAGGATTTTCAGATTTAGAAGTCTTGGAATATAGAGCACAAGTCATATTACTTTTATTATACTTTTTTTTTTTTTTTTTTTTTTTTTTTTGGAGCTTGACAGCCACAATATCCATGCATTGTATGGAAAAGAGCAACATGGACATTCTTATAAATGATAATCTTAAATAAATATTACAAAAAAAAAAAACTGTTACACTGTTAACAAAGGGAAGAAACGAGAAACAGGTGGATCACATTAATCAAACAATGAATAACCATAGTAACTATGCAAACAAAAGGGAAAGAACAGGAAACAATAATACAATGAAAAACCAATTAAAGATCCAACTCAAACTCAGACAAAACGTGACACTATGTTTCATTCCGCCTATTTTTGTGTGCATTTTGGGATATCGCCTAAAAACTGCTGGATGCAAACACTAAGATGTGCATAAAAATCTAATGCCGGCTACAGACTGTGATTTTGGCAATCCTATAAGATTATGACCAATTACACTGCACGACATGGATCTAATAAACTTGGGTACGACATGTATGTAGACTGTATGATGATGACACCTATTGAATTGTAGGCTCTGACGCAAGTTAGTAAAGAAGAATAAAATGGCATCAGCATGCGTTAGTGGTAAACACATAGAGCAAGATCAATCAGTAGACGTAGGTCGTAGCAGCAACACACTGGCCCTCATTTATCAAAAGTGCGTACACCAAATTTCCAGCGTACACCTGGCGTACACCCAAAACCACGGTGACTTTGAGATTTATCAATATGGACGTTGGTGTACGGCACGCTCAAATCCTACGCCAGCTCAGGAGGTGGTGTACGCACGTTGGTGCAGAAATGCGCAGAAATGCGCAGAAAAACAATTCCTAACACCACACTGACAAACTAAAAGATATGATATATTATGACCAACAACAACAACATAGTAATTATAAACTTCAGTGTTTATTTTTGTGCAACATGGACTTCAATGTTTAATTTATGTGACTTTACCAAAGCATTTGATTTGAAGCATTTGATATGTATTCCTTCAGTTGCGAGCGCGCTTTACCCTGACGTTTCATGGTTAGGCCCGGCAGGTGCGCACGGACTGGGTTCGGTAATGAAAGGCTTTCAATGACCAAAAAATAATTCAGACTGACAAAATAATAAAAAATACATTCTTCTTCTTTTAAATAATAATAATAATAATACAAATAAATAATAATAACGACGTTCTTCTTCTAAATAACAACAAGCGTCATTAATAATAAAAATCATAATAAGAAGAATATTACAAATTGTCATGCAATTATTAATGTGAATGAATGGTAGCCTACTCCACATCACATCATCATCATCACTATTGTACACCCCAATACATGTGACATGATTCGAAATTGAATGCTAATTGTTTCAAAAGACGTGCTGTAAAATAATGCATTGTGATAGGACATTTCGGCTCCACGTCGGAGAAGTTTCTCTTCTGTGCCGTCTTCCGTGTGTCCATGGCGTAAAATGAGGGCGTGGGGGAAGCGGAGACTTGAATATATAGGGGCGTGCTATTCTAATGACGATCGTTTTCAGCCGCGGGATTTATCAAGGGCAGGTATTGCGTACACCTGGATTTCAAAGGTACGCACAGCTTCATAAATCAGGCGGTGAGAGGAGTGTAAGCATAATCTAACGCCAACATATACGCCCGTTTCTACGCAAGAATGATAAATGAGGGCCACTGTGAGATGATCATACTATTTCTGACACTGTCATAAAATTATCTCAGGCTATCTTTGGTCGCAAGACCGTGACAACGTCCGTCTTTGAAACTCTCTTACTGCATGACGTAGGACCACCGTTTAGGGGCCACGACCATCTTTCGTCATCTTTCGTCTGGGACTGCCCAAAATCGTACAATCTGTACCGAGCATTATGCGCTTAATTGAGGCAGATTTTTTTTATCTGATAAGACATGGGCATAAACTATGATGGACATACATTTTCAAAAATAAGTGTTTTAGAAGTATAGAAGTATAATGTTAACAAGAATTTATTGTGAAAAAAAATCACTGACTAATCTTTTCAATCTAAAGTTATATCTAATTTTACAACTTTATTGCTGTGACAACAGAATGCAATAAGCTCTTAAACTCTAAAATTACTTAAAAAAAATTATGATTTAAACAGCTTTACAGCTAAAATAGTACATTTATTTTAACAGATTAATTAATGTTAGTGCTTTTTAAAAATTGTTTTACATTTCAGCTCAATTTTCAGCTCAATTTTTAAGTCCTTAAAAATTGTCCCCATTCACTTCCATTGTAAGTCTCACCATAACCAACATTGTCACATGTCTTGTGACTGTTCGTGATATAGGTTTAAAGAGGACCTATCGTGCTTTAAAAATATATATATTTTACCTTTCCTTTAGTGTGTAATATAGTTTTTTTTTTTTTACCTGCAATTTGATGCAGGTCAGTGTGTTAACAGAGAAATGTCACAGTTATAACATCACATCTGAAATATAAGAGAGGTATAATTTTAAAATTAAAGGTCGATTCAGGTCGATCAGTTTGTTCTTCTTGACTGTCATAATCGGATTGGGCTCAAACTGACAAAACTATTTTGCGTAGTTACAATATTTACATCACCTCAGGCAGCCTCAAGAGCTGATACCCATTTTGGTAAGTATGGGGAGTTCCTTTTATCCTTTAAACATAAAACAGAGCGTTCATACAGAGGATGAAAAATTTTTTTTTAAACATTAAATTATATAAACCTACTCTAGTATACTCCATAAACAAAAATATGAACCTGTAAGTGAGCATAATAGTAAAAAAGTAAGTGCGTAACAGCTATATGGTCACTATATGCTTTTGTTGCTTGGAAAAGAGCAAGTTCTTCTTTTGTTCCAAAAAACATAAAATCTTCACGTTTGGTAGCTAAAACACTGTAAGTTCATACCTTGTAATTGCCGATTCATATCTCGCCATTTAATCAATTCAAGATGTAGAGTAGCTTACACGTTGGTTGCATGAATATTACATCATGGTTTCATTAATTTAATTCCCTATCTGTCAGTCACTTAAATGTTGTGTCGATGTGATGACACTAGGGGTCGCACTTGGGAGCCCCAAACACCTCTGATACTTCAGAAAAGGCCAATGAGAATTGACGAGTGGAATTTGCATGCCATTGCCCATTGCCCCGGACTTATAGCTATAAAAGGAGGTGGCTTGCATCCATTCATTCAGATTTGTTCTTCGGAGCAAAGTGGTTGCAGGTGCAATCGCTCATTCCATTCACCTCTGTAAAAAGGAGGAAACCTTAATCTGCTGGTGTACATAGCGCATTACAGTGATCTCTCTTCCGAATGCACTGTTAAGTGCAGAGAGCTCCCCGGTCACGACTTTCTTTCTTTTTTTAGACAGGAAGTCACTTCAGTTGCTCAATGTCCTGGTTCTTCTGCTGTCAAGCAAGGCCTCGGCTGCAAGTACTGGCGATCTGGGGTTTCAATGGAAGCCCACGGGACTATCATTCCCCGGCACGCCCGTTTCCCCTGGTTGAGTTCATGAATGAGTTAATTTCTCATTCAGGGCTCGAGAAGAGCTTGTCGATGGCACAGGATAGAGTTGCCAATAGCAGTAGGGTGGGCTATTGCCTTAAGACGGCGAGGACTTGGCTGGCAGATGCCTAGTTAGTGGACATGCTTGCCTGGACCCACCATGAACATTGGGCTCCAGTGGAACCCTCCACCATGCCCTGAGCGTTCGTGGTTGGATGATTGGTTCTTGGGTTCGGAGTGCTGCTCACAGACACGCTCTGCCCTAGTTTATTTCTTCCCGGAAGTGCATGAGGAGCTCACAAAAGTCATGGAAGGCACCTTTCAATGCCATGTTGTGCTTCACAAGCTCTTCCGTCCTCACTACCCTTGATGGTGGGGCGGCCAGGGGGTACAGAGGTACACAAGTTGAATAGGCAATTGCGGTGCATTTATGCCCACAGAGCGCCACCACCTGGTGGAATCATCCTAGAATTCCGTCTAGGGCCTGTTAGTTCACTTCATCAATGAGAGTGAAGAGTGGGGACTCTAGGTGGTCCAGCTGATTTGAAGTCAATTAAGCAAAGCACAGGTAGATCTGATCGCTTCCTAGGAATACTCCCATTGCCCACAGCTGGCCCTGGGGCCTACGCAAGGTCTTCTGCTGTCAAGCAAGGCCTCGGCTGCAAGTGCTGGCGATCTGGGATTTCGCCATCAGGGAGGTGAAGTATTTCTCTTTCCCTGGAGAGCTGCTTATGAGGATGCTTCAAATGCTTGTTCTACCCCTCATCGTCTCCAGCCTTGTCACAGGTGCGCCTACAAAACACATCACTTCAATCTTTGCAGATAATTCGCTAACACTTTAAATTCCTTTACATTAGTTAATGCATTAGGTGTCATGAACTAACAATGAACAACAATTTTAAAGCATTTATTAATTTAGGTTAATTGTTCATTGTTTATTTATGTTCATTCATAATACATTAACTATAATATAGACTGCTGTTCACTATCACTCAAGCCAGGAGGCTGTTCTCCTCCACCTTAATGGTGGGCATTTATATAGTGCTATATATATTATATAGCTCCATGGCCACCAAAGCGCTTTACATATTGCCTTACATTCACCCATTCATACACCGACGGCGGTGTCAGCCATGCAAGGCGCCATCCAGCTCGTCGGGAGCAGCTGGGGTTGTCTTGCTCATGGACACCTCAGCACTTGGTCAGGTGGAACCGGGGATTGAACCACCAACCTTCCGGTTTGTAGACAACCTACATCAGGTTACTTAGAGGTCCCAGGAGGTTAAATCCTCCAAGGTCAACCCATGCAAGCATTCTCTGTGGGTCAGACATGCCTTGAGTTAGGTCCAGCATACTCTCATGTAATCCTGCGACCCCGGCCGAGCTATATGCCCAAAGTTCCCACTACTTCTTTCAGGGATCAGGTGGTGAACTTGCCAAGCGCTCCCTTGTGATGAGGCAGACCCAGCCTTATCATTGCTGTGTCCAGTGCGTGCTCTGCACATTTACCTGGACAGCATGGAGAGCTTCAGACACTCTGATCAGCTCTTTGTCTGTTTTGGGGGACAGCAGAAGGGGAAGGCTGTCCCCAAACAGAGGATTACCCACTGGATTGTGGATGCCATTTCTTTGGCATACCAAATCCAGGGCGTGTCGTGCTCTATGGGAGTGTGAGAACACTCCACAAGGAGTGTTGGATCCTCCTGGGCACTAGGGAATGGTGCCTCTTTAACAGACATCTGTAGAGCAGCAGGCTGGGCTACAGCCAAAACCTTTGCGATATTTTACAATCTCCGGGTTGAGTCAGTGTCTTCCCGAGTGTTATCAGGTACGAATAGGTAAATTTCGGGCAACTGGCAGTGTGTATTGCTTGCATAGAGTGATTTTCTCCTCCTTAAGGTGATAACTTGGGCTTTTTGTCCATGAGAGTTCCCTGTGTCTGGCGAACCCTGGAAGCCCTCCTATTCTCCAGTACTCATCAGTAGCTGAATACGGCCGAGGACTTCGCCGCCAGGCCCATTACTTGTGGTATGTCCCCTTTTAGGTGAGCCCTTGTACTTTGATTGGGTGCTCCATATATGCGCTGATTCCCTGTTGGTAATCCCATATGATGTATTTTCCACTGTTCAGTTTCCCTGTTGGCAAACTCTGTGTCTTCCATTGAGCCTCGTGCTGTCACCAGTCGCTATGGGTGTGAAGTTTCTCCCTTGCCAGGAAGAACCCACCATAGAGACTTCTTTCCACATGTGGTACTTCCTATTGGTAAGTCCATGTGATGTATTCTCTACATGTAAACCTCCCTTCAGGCAGGGTATGGTCTCTGCAGTGCCCTTTTTCCTGCATAGAAAAGTTACAACGTGGCCTGATGCACCTGATATTAGGCACACAGCAGCCTGCCTGCACCGCCAAACCTCATGACACAGTTCAGCTAGTTGCGCCGTTTCTTATAGGGACCCCTAGTGTCATCACATCGACACAACGTTGAAGTGACTGACAGTTAGGGAACATCTTGGTTACTATTTTAACCTTTGTTCCCTGATGAAGGGAACAAGATGTTGTGTCCCTCCTGCCACAACACTGAACTACTGCTTAAATGGCCGGGACACTATCTCGGCTCCTCAGCACACACCTGAATGAATGGATGCAAGACACCTCCTTTTATACCCAAATGTCTTGGGTGTTTGGGGCTCCCAAGTGCAACCCCTAGTGTCGTTAGATTGACCAAACGTCTCGTTCCCACCATCAGGGAACAGACACTCTTTGAGAAAAAGTGAACTTTAAGTCATGAAACATTGCAAGTCACAAAAAATGTTATCCTTGATATAATTCTCCTCAATGTTCTGCCACAGTTTCCCATGAAACACTCTTGGACCATGTATTAGAGCTGATTATGAATGAGAAGCCTCCAAACAGCACCAGCCTGTTTCTGAGTGAAGATTCTGAGAAGCCACAGCGTGCTGAGGAGGGGCTCCACCGTCTGTGTCGAGTATTACAGAAGCAGATGTCAGGAAGTAGGCGAAAGATGGGCTGCATCACACGAGACAGCGTCAAGACATTCCTGCGAAGGAATGCGTTTGTAATCTTCACAGTGGCTGCTGTGGCTTTAGGTAAAAGGTAAAAGGGAGGGAAGTGTGAAGTATGAAAGGGTTAACAGACGTTTCATTTTAAATTTCTAACTGTATGTAGGGGTGGTGCTGGGTTTTGCCTTGAGACCTCATAACCTGTCCATCAGGGAGGTGAAGTATTTCTCTTTCCCTGGAGAGCTGCTTATGAGGATGCTTCAAATGCTTGTTCTACCCCTCATCGTCTCCAGCCTTGTCACAGGTGCGCCTACAAAACACATCACTTCAATCTTTGCAGATAATTCGCTAACACTTTAAATTCCTTTACATTAGTTAATGCATTAGGTGTCATGAACTATCAATGAACAACAATTTTAAAGCATTTATTAATTTAGGTTAATTGTTCATTGTTTATTTGTTCATTCATAATACATTAACTACTGTTAATATATAGGCTACATCTTCAAATGTTTAAAAATATATAATATAGACTGCTGCTGTTCAAAAGTTTGAGATCAAAAAAAAAAAAAAAAAAAAAAAAATCAGAAGTGACAGTTAAGACAATTATAATGTTACTGAATTTTTCTATTTCAAATAAATGCTGTTGGTTGAACTTTCTATTCATCAAAGAATCCTAAATAAACGCTTTCCATAAAAATATTAAGCAGCACAACTGTTTTCAATATTGATAATAATAAGAAATGTTTCTTGAGCAGCAAATCAGCACATTAAAATATAAAACAGTTATTTTGTAATAATTTTTCACAATATTGCTGTTTTTACTGGATTTTTTTTATCAAATAAATACAGCCTTGGAGAGCATAAGAGACTTTTCTTTTTAAAACAAAACAAAACTTTTGAATGGTTAGTGTATATGAAAGCTATATATATTTAATTATCTATACTACATTAAGTATATTTAAAAATGAACATTGACCAGTTCTTGAGCAGAAACATTGGTCTTTTATTGTCATTTCAGTAGAAATGCTCAACTACAGATCCTTTGTGTCTTGGCTCATCATGTTTTTGTGCAGGAATTTCCTCTTTGGACAGCAAGGCTTCTGGGAAGATGGGAATCCGGGCCATTGTCTACTACATGGTGACTACGCTTATAGCAGTTTTCATCGGTATTGTCATGGTGATTATTATCAGGCCGGGTAAAGGCAGCAGGGATAGGCCAGTGGCCTCTAGTGGCAGCATTGAGCCAGTGCAGGCCGCTGATGCGTTTCTGGACCTGATAAGGTGGGGAGAAAGTTTCATTTGACTGTTGAAATCCTTGTTTATTTATTAGATGTTATGGGATCAGATTTTTTCTTGTTGTTTCTACAGAAATATGTTTCCACCAAATTTAGTTGAAGCCTGCTTTAAACAGGTTTGTAAATCCTCTCCTAATGCATTTCTATAAGATTAAAGTGCCTCTACTCATTTGGTACATGTAACAGATATTACTAATCACCCATTTTTCTTGCAGTACAAAACACTATACAAGAAAACTGTGCTGACAAAAAATGTCACCATCATGGTCAATGCGACAGACAGCATCAACTCTACAGATCTCAGCCAAGTATCCAACTTCAGCACAATCCTGCAGACCATCCAGGAGACGGTGGAAGAGGTGGTTCCTGTCTCAGGTTCCTCAAATGGGGTGAATGCCTTGGGGTTGGTGGTCTTCTCCATGTGCTTCGGATTAGTGATTGGAAACATGAAACAGCAGGGCCAGGCTCTCCGGGACTTCTTTGACTGCCTGAACGAAGCTATAATGCGCTTGGTGGCCATCATTATCTGGTTAGTGTCCTGATGTTCTGATAACCTATAACCTATATAAATTATGATGGCCCTGACAACAGAGTTAGTCATTTAAGATTCAATGACATGATGCTATCAATTTGTTTTTTAAACATTAAAAATGCAATTCATAGATATAATGACTGGAATACACCTCTTCAAAGGTTTTATTTTTGAATTTTTTGGGGACCATAAAGTAAAATTTCAGTATTCATTCACAACTATCTTAATATAATAATGAAGAAAAAGCACATAAAAGAATGAAATTCTTGAAAATAAAACCTTTAGGTTATTTGGTATAATCATTTATTATTATTAAAAAAATATATATTTTAACAAATGTTTCACTGCTTTGAGTCATGTGGTGTGACCAACAAAGTGATGTGGCCCAATCAACAAGCAGAAACATAAAAGAGAGGACCCCTGCAGACCCTCATGACTGTGTCAATTTCAATATGTCTTTTAAATTATCAGAGAATTTTACCCTTTTGTGGCATGGCAAGGTGTGTTCAGGTTGTAAAATGTCATGTGGTGTGAACTGATGATTCATAATATTTGTAAAAACAATTTTTTTTTTCAACTTCAAAAATATATTTTGCTTGCAGATAATGATTAAGATGTGTACACTGACACAGTTGTGGCCAAAAGTGATTTTCTGAGGTTATATTTGTTTTGAATGTACCTACAAGTTTGATGAAACTATCAAAATATGAGGAAATTATTTCATATTTTTATAATATATTTTAAATATGAGGTAAGAACTAAACACTTAACTTGGTTAAGGTATTTCTCTGACAAAATTATTTGTCAGGAATACAAAGCATACATTGACTACATATTTAGTTATTAATGTTTATTTTTTGGTTAATGTTTCATTTCTTTATCACAAATTAAACAATTGACTCCAAGCACAACTATGCAATATAATAAGATTTGCATAAGTGAAGATGTCAATTTTCCTAGGCCGGACATCACTTTTGGCCACTACTGTATATTTAAGGAACTTAAAATGGTATACATTTAAAAAAAAAAACCTGACACCTGAATTAAACTTTCTTAGAACTTGGTACAGTATATATATATTTTTTTTTCCAGTTTTTTTCCAGTTTTTCTTTTACTGCCACAGTTAAGTAATTCTGTAAATTAAACAATCTCTCTTCTCATTATTACACACAAGTTATTATTATTATAATGTTTCATTTTATATTGAGAAACTATATCCTTATGAGATTTTTTCTAAATATTATGATGACATATTAACTGATAATAATGTTTATTTTGAAGGTTCATATGAAGTGTCATTTCATAATGAGAAAGGTTCTCATTATTATTAACTTTGTCATTATTATGAGAAATTTCTTCTCAATGTAACAAGATGCTAAGTCATAATTTTGGGACACTTTATTTGTGGCTTACAGATTACTTTTTTTATTATGATTTATAGATTCATATTTTTTACTCAACTGTGGTGGAAATCGGCTTTCAGATAGCGTATTTGTCATTGGCTGGAGTAAGAGCAATTGTTTTAATATAGAAATGAAAATCTTTAATATATTTTTTATTTAAATTTCATCTCAATATCTTGAATTTAAAGGCTCTATTTATGTATGCAGAATTTACTATTATTGCTGTAAAATGTCTGTCACATCTGACCTCTGTTGAGCAGGTACGCTCCGGTGGGTATCCTCTTCCTGATTGCAGGGAAGATTGTAGAGATGAAAGACCTTGCTCAGGTGGGCGGACAATTAGGGATGTACACGGTATCTGTCATTGTCGGGCTACTCATCCACGGCCTGTTCGTTCTGCCTCTGCTCTTCTTTGTGGTGACCAAGAAGAACCCTTTCACCTTTATTGCTGGGCTGCTACAGGCTCTGATCACCGCTCTAGGCACCTCATCCAGGTAATCACCTGTGTAAATAAAATATTTGCTATATCTAATGGTAATCAGATGTTGGTAGTATTTAGGATTTTCTATAGATATAGATAGCATTTTTTTTGTATAGTGCAAGATGTGCCATATTTTCAATATTTTATTATAATAAAATTTGATAATATATACAATATAATTTTAGTTGAGTTAGTATGTGGAAAATACATCCTATAGACTCACCAGTGGGGAGGACTACATAGAGAAGAGTCCCTGTGGTGGGCTCCACCTGACGAGGGGGAGACTAGCTGCTTCACAGCGACTGGTGACAGAGCTAGCTCCGTCCAGGGGAAGACACTGGATTCACCGAAGGGGAAATTGAACAGTGAAAGAATACATCGTATAGGGTCACCATTAGGGAACAACTACATACGGTGCACTAGCCAGATTACAAGGGCTCATCTGAAAAGGGGTTCAGGGTTCACCATTTAAGGGAAACTCAGACTGGACCTAAAAAGTGCACGTTATCACCTCAGGGAGGAGAGAGGTGCTAATGCAAGCACTTCATCCAACCAGTTTGTCCGATTTTTACCTGTTATTACTTAAGACTCAAGACAAAACTGTTTCCATGCGTAGATTATAAAATCTCGCAATAGTGTTGGGTGTAGCCCCGCACAGAGCTCTATATATGACTGCTAATGAAGAACTGTTTGCCAGAGCAGATGTGGTTGCGAGGGAGTGTGCCCTCACTCCTGTACAAATCCTGAGCCTGATAAGCCCAGAGAATGGCATCCACAATCCAGTGGGCCTTTCATTGCTTGAAGACAGCCTTCCCCTTATGATGACTCACGGGGACTGACCCGGCAGCAGCTCTCTCATCGCAGCCCTCAGATCGCCTTCAGGACCAAGACGGGAATCAGCTGAGGATTCGCTGAGTACGACCGCAAAGTCTCAATGGGCATGCTCTCGCAGAGAGGAAGGCCAGAAGAGCACGGTCGGAACGGCATCTTTAAAAAAACACGATCTGCCTAAAGAAATTGCCTCTTTCAGAACGCCGCTGATGCACCCAGGGAAACTCTCTTCACTTATATGTTTATCCCCTTATTCATAGTCGGTGGCCGAACGCTGTTCCTTGCATTACCTCTGGGTCAGGACTACCCTCGTGGATTACCTCTGGGTCAGGACTACCCTGCCCTCCGAACCCAGGAACCAATCATCCACCCGTGTGCACTCAGGACAGGGTGGTGGAGACCACTCAAGCCCGATGCTCACGCCTGCCTGGGAAAGCATGGCTGCCAACTCTGCATTAGCCAGCTGAGTCATCTGCGTCGGAAGGTATAAGCCCGCCCTCAGATGCTGTGATCCTCTCGAGCTCCGAATGAGAAATGAAGCTTTCCTGAGGGTGAGCCACCAAACTCATCCAGAAATTTGACTGAGGAGAATGAGCATGAGATGCTCGCGGGGACTGACCTGGCAGCAGCTCTCTTATTGTAGCCCTCAGATCGCCTTCAGGACCAAGACGGGAATCAGCTGAGGATCTCTGCTTTTTGTTAAAGAACAAGATTCACGACCACAATGTCCCAATGAGCATGATCTAGCAGTGAGAGCATGAAGCATTCACGAAGGACACGGAAGAGAGAAATCACCCGCAACCAGAAGAGCACGGCCGGAACGGCATCTTTAAAAAGACGTGATCCGTCGTGCAGCTCTTTTGAAAGGAATTTGCACTTTTAATAAGGAATTTTTTTTCCGAACAATGCTGATGCATCCAGGGAAGCTCTTTGCACTTATATGTGCACACTGGAGTCCGCTGTTCTATGCTGATGATCCAGCTGGAACCGTTTCTTGCAGAGGTGAATGGAAATTGCTTCTCTTTAGTATCAAGAGTCGCTTAGGTGCCGAAGAACAAAGCTGAAGTGTATGTGCAAGCTGGCCCGCCTTATTTGGCGTGGCCTGGCATGCAAATTCCACACGTCAATTCCATTGGCCTTTTCTGAATATGTCTCTTAAGGGCGACCCCTAGTGTCGGTATTTCGACACAATGTGACATTGTGACAGACAAAAAGGGAAATAAATTTACAATGTTAGCTGTGGAAACGTGTCATCATAGTCTGTGATAACTATACACACCTGAATAGATTTGAATTGACACCTTTAGTTTTAACAGCACATGCCACTATGGTTTTATTATTTTCTTGTCTTTCTCAGCTCTGCCACCCTGCCCATCACTTTCCGTTGTCTTGAAGAAAACAACCATGTGGACAAACGAGTGACACGTTTTGTGCTACCAGTTGGAGCCACAATCAATATGGATGGCACAGCTCTGTATGAGGCAGTGGCGGCCATTTTTATTGCACAGGTCAATGACATGGACCTGAACTTTGGCCAGATCCTCACCATCAGGTTAGTACTGGCAGTGTTTATCTCTCATCCATTTAGCAAAACATTCGTACTTTGCCAATTTTTTTCCTTGCCAACAACTTCTCCTATGAGCTGTTTTCCAAAAAACTCAACTTTTTCCAAATTGAAAAGCTCTCATGTTTCTCTCAGTATTACGGCGACTGCCGCTAGCATCGGAGCAGCAGGCATCCCTCAGGCTGGGCTGGTTACTATGGTGATAGTATTGACATCGGTGGGACTGCCCACAGAGGACATTACACTGATCATCGCAGTGGACTGGTTCCTGTGAGTCTCTCTCAAATGTCACGTTGAAGCATGCGGCTCCAGTAGAGAGCACTCTTTCAAAGGTTATTGATACATAATGCAGAATGCTAATCTGAAGGAGTGTTAGCAGCATTGACACATTCCACTTTCAGATTGTGCTTCCATAATACTTAACACTGAATTGAAAACATTGAATGCTTCTCTTCAGCGACTGATTCGAGTATTAAACTTTGTCGCATAACTAGTCAGGCTCCTGTGCTACAGACATAAATGATGCCACAAATCATGCGGTTTGTTGAAAAGAGGTGTGATTTTACTTTTTTTTTAAGCATTCGATGATTTACAGTTACAAAAAACGAAAAAACAGGCTAAAAAATGCTATGTACTTGCTTTGACAAAGGGACCCAAGACAACTCTGAATGTCCAGAGATTCATAGAGATGTGGACCCGTTTGACTTGAAGCACTACCCTTAATTTCCTTTGTTTTCTCAGAGTAGCCCTCTTCTTTCACCCTAACCCTGTTATTGTTTATTCATGTATGCCGCTTTTTGTGTTTTCCATGTTTTGTTGGTTTTTGTCAGTTTTTGTCAATGTCTCGTTCCGTCTTGTCTTGTGCTTAGTGTCCCTTTGAGGAGCGTCTGGTAGCCGCTCCTTAAAGTGGGGGTTCTGTCATGAGTCTGCCATCATGTTATTGATTATTCCTAGTCTTGTGGCAGGATCACGACAGAACCAATGTTTTGTGTACAAGCGCATGGCCAATTGTTTGGCCATGTGCTTGTGTTGTCTCGTCTCTTAACCCCGCCCCCTTGTTATCCTGATTCAGTCTTTATTGCTTCACCCGTGTCACCTGTTATGTCTTGATTAGTCTCCTTATTTAATCACCTTGTGTTTGCTGTCTTGTGTCGGTTCATTGCCAAACGTTACTTGTGAGTATCTTGTGAAAGTCTTGTCATGGAAAGTCATTGTAGGTCTAGTCATTGTTAGTATCTCTCGAAGTGTTTGTTTTCTAGTATTTTGTCAGTGTCGTTGTCTAGTTAGTCACCAGAGTCCTGTCTTGTTTTGCCCCCTCGTGGGCTTTGTTTTCCCCTTTTTGTCTTCAATAAATTGTGTGAAGAGCATTCAGTCTGCTTTTGGGTTCATCAATCTGCATCCATCGTAACGCCTACAGAATAATTTCAAAAGATGACATCTTAAAAATATTTTCTATTCAATCTGAAAAAAAGAAGCTTGCTCCAACTGTTTGAAAATGATTTTCTTTGGCAAATAAATTACACATTCAACCAAATGTATTTATTTATGGTGACTAAAGTTAAAAATACTTTGTGGGAATTATTAGCACAATTTTCAACGTGAATCAATTTTTCAAATGTTTTCAGTGTACTGTATATGGTATAAGTTGAGACTGCCATACACTCAAAAAAATGAACTAGGAAGGTTGTGCACTTTACATAATATATTTATATTTAGTTTACTTATAATAATTGTGTTTTTTGACTTGAAATGTTTTTTTCTAGTAAGGTCCACGTAATTATGTCTCAACTTAACAGTACAAAATCCTAATGCGTTGCCTAAACACAAACCATTTATGTTAAGTGAAAAATTCTTACATCCAGAGGGTGGCAGTATAGTGCGAGCCAACTGCCATTTTGCCCGAACTTAATTTGATTGTGTTCAATCTGCTTAAATATATGTAACATTTAAGTTTACTTAATCCACTTGTGTTGGATTACATGATTGATTTGTGTTGCATTAACTAAAACTGGGCGGTGCTTGTTAGTGCCCAGCATGCTTTGCATATGGTTGAATTAAGAGAGAATAAATGTTAAAATTAAGTGTTAATGTTTTTTTGTTGAGAAAATGACAAAAGGGGAAGACTTGATAGTGTGTAATTGTGTTTAATGTTCAATTACATTTGAATTATTAGCACCATTTAAATTACAGTGGGTTACCATTGTGGAGAAGAGTGGAGCATTTTGTTTGTCTGTGGACTGATTTATTTATTTCAACTGTTTGGTTGAGCATGTTAATCTTAGCATTTAAGATGCTAATATGTGCTCCTGCTAGCAAATAGCTAGCTATAGTCTAACAATTTAATTATGTGTTACTAAAATAAATGAAATATTAATGAATGAATGAATATAAAAAATACCCGAATCATGTCAGGAAGCCTTTAAAAAATCACTTTGAGACTACTTTAATAGGGTTGCTTAAAATGACTTAATTCCATGATGTTGAAGTTACATGAACAAATTATGTTGAAGTTAAATGAACAAATTATGTTGAAGTTACATAACAAATTATGTTTGTTTAACATAACCTAGTTATGTGGAACCTGTTGACGAAATAAAATTAAGTAAAGCCAACATATCATTTTTTTGAGTGTACATTTCCATGGTGTCTTTAGTTTGTGCTTAGCTCCTAAAAATGTGTATTCTGTACGCAAACAAGTTTTCACAGAATTAAAACAAAATGCCTTTTATCTGACATTCCTGGACAACTGGGTTTCACTCTGTGCCATATCACAAAATAATTTATCATGAAAGTATACGGATGCAAAAATACAACAATAAAGTTAATATAACCCCTATTAATGCGTGTGCTGTATGAAATGGCAGATTCCTTAGAGGTTCCTTGGGGAAAGCAAGGAAAAGAGCGAGATGAGTTTATACAGTACAACAGACCTAAGACGCTGTGTAGGTGGTGAGTGGGTAGTCGGAGCAGAAGGTCACACACACAGATCTGAAGGCTGGACCTGAACAAGCGCGAGCAATCACGTTGTCATGGCAATGAGATACGCTGAATATTTGTCTCTTTCTCATACAGTACTACTGTACAACAAAACATTGTCATTTAAAATACAACTTTATTTATCATTTAATGAAGATTATATTTCGCATACAATACCTTTAGATACTATTATTGACAAAGTCTCACTGAAAAGTCACAGCCATTAAACGAATCTATCAGTATAAACACACAGTGGGTGTTGTCGCTGCATACACTCAGTAGTAAACGCCTCCCCCAATGAGACTTTATTAACGTGTTGATTCTTCGCGCTATCGGGCAGTGGGTCGATTTTTTTTTTCTCACAGGAAAAAATCGCAACTTCTCTTCCCACGCAAAAATCTCAAGGCGTTTTCAATTCTTTAAACAGTTGTGAGGGCAGAATATCACCGAGTCTCCAGCTTCTGCTGCACGCGACGTAACCACGGGCTACAGAGATAACACTCGGGAAGAGCTACAGAGAAATGGTAAGTCGTGTTGTTTTAAAATGCAATGTGTCTAAATATAGGCTAATACAAAATGCAAACATTTAATTTAGCTGAGCTAGGATGAGGCATCAAATAGTATCTTTCTTTCTTTTTTTTTTTTTTTTGTTATAAAAAAAACCTATCATAAGTTCACAAATAGCCTACAACATCAGTTCTCTGTTTTCTCCTGAGTTTGTGGTGTTCTGGTGTGATCACCAGTTGCTGATCTGTTAGTTTACTATTGGACGGTGGAAAGGACAGGAGCGAGATTATGGTGTGGGTCAGCTTTGTAGTGCTCACCTGGGGTGTTTGGATTTATGCTGATTTAAGATCAGTGATCAGACCACCAAGTAGGGATCAATGGAGTAAAAACTGGCCCTAGATCAGGCCAAAAGGTATGTTTTGTACCTCTAGTGTCTCTCAGTATGGGGTCACAAAGAGGGTGAGAGAGTCAGGCTGTATTATAAGCTGTTTCATGTGTGTTTGGCACAAGTTGAGCTTTACCTGTGGCCACTTCAGTCCAGTATCTCCAGCACTAGCCCACTGCAGAGCAACCATGAGTGGTGAGTGAACCCATCTCAAGGTTTTATACTGTAGATTAGTTAGGAAAATATTCTTAAGTAATTGAAGTGGAATTGCTGGGTGATTGTTTACTTACTAAATCAATTTACTAAAAATTTAAAATGGATCTTGTTCTAAAGTTTTTCTTCTTGATGTGCTATGAGGTGTTCTTATTTTTCTTGATGTGCTATGAGGTGTTCTTTTGACATTAGACAAGCAGTCATTTGGTCAGTTGTCTGTATGATGCTTGATTTCTTTTTGTTAGCCAGTCCATAATTTCTGGATATTTTTCTAGTTTTAAAGCAATAATGCACTGCCAAAATGAAAATTCTTTCATTGTTTACTCATTGTTCTTTCATTTATTTTTCCCTTGGAACAAAAAGGATTTTCAGATTTAGAAGTCTTGGAATATAGAGCACAAGTCATATTACTTTTATTATACTTTTTTTTTTTTTTTTTTTTTTTTTTTTGGAGCTTGACAGCCACAATATCCATGCATTGTATGGAAAAGAGCAACATGGACATTCTTATAAATGATAATCTTAAATAAATATTACAAAAAAAAAAAACTGTTACACTGTTAACAAAGGGAAGAAACGAGAAACAGGTGGATCACATTAATCAAACAATGAATAACCATAGTAACTATGCAAACAAAAGGGAAAGAACAGGAAACAATAATACAATGAAAAACCAATTAAAGATCCAACTCAAACTCAGACAAAACGTGACACTATGTTTCATTCCGCCTATTTTTGTGTGCATTTTGGGATATCGCCTAAAAACTGCTGGATGCAAACACTAAGATGTGCATAAAAATCTAATGCCGGCTACAGACTGTGATTTTGGCAATCCTATAAGATTATGACCAATTACACTGCACGACATGGATCTAATAAACTTGGGTACGACATGTATGTAGACTGTATGATGATGACACCTATTGAATTGTAGGCTCTGACGCAAGTTAGTAAAGAAGAATAAAATGGCATCAGCATGCGTTAGTGGTAAACACATAGAGCAAGATCAATCAGTAGACGTAGGTCGTAGCAGCAACACACTGGCCCTCATTTATCAAAAGTGCGTACACCAAATTTCCAGCGTACACCTGGCGTACACCCAAAACCACGGTGACTTTGAGATTTATCAATATGGACGTTGGTGTACGGCACGCTCAAATCCTACGCCAGCTCAGGAGGTGGTGTACGCACGTTGGTGCAGAAATGCGCAGAAATGCGCAGAAAAACAATTCCTAACACCACACTGACAAACTAAAAGATATGATATATTATGACCAACAACAACAACATAGTAATTATAAACTTCAGTGTTTATTTTTGTGCAACATGGACTTCAATGTTTAATTTATGTGACTTTACCAAAGCATTTGATTTGAAGCATTTGATATGTATTCCTTCAGTTGCGAGCGCGCTTTACCCTGACGTTTCATGGTTAGGCCCGGCAGGTGCGCACGGACTGGGTTCGGTAATGAAAGGCTTTCAATGACCAAAAAATAATTCAGACTGACAAAATAATAAAAAATACATTCTTCTTCTTTTAAATAATAATAATAATAATACAAATAAATAATAATAACGACGTTCTTCTTCTAAATAACAACAAGCGTCATTAATAATAAAAATCATAATAAGAAGAATATTACAAATTGTCATGCAATTATTAATGTGAATGAATGGTAGCCTACTCCACATCACATCATCATCATCACTATTGTACACCCCAATACATGTGACATGATTCGAAATTGAATGCTAATTGTTTCAAAAGACGTGCTGTAAAATAATGCATTGTGATAGGACATTTCGGCTCCACGTCGGAGAAGTTTCTCTTCTGTGCCGTCTTCCGTGTGTCCATGGCGTAAAATGAGGGCGTGGGGGAAGCGGAGACTTGAATATATAGGGGCGTGCTATTCTAATGACGATCGTTTTCAGCCGCGGGATTTATCAAGGGCAGGTATTGCGTACACCTGGATTTCAAAGGTACGCACAGCTTCATAAATCAGGCGGTGAGAGGAGTGTAAGCATAATCTAACGCCAACATATACGCCCGTTTCTACGCAAGAATGATAAATGAGGGCCACTGTGAGATGATCATACTATTTCTGACACTGTCATAAAATTATCTCAGGCTATCTTTGGTCGCAAGACCGTGACAACGTCCGTCTTTGAAACTCTCTTACTGCATGACGTAGGACCACCGTTTAGGGGCCACGACCATCTTTCGTCATCTTTCGTCTGGGACTGCCCAAAATCGTACAATCTGTACCGAGCATTATGCGCTTAATTGAGGCAGATTTTTTTTATCTGATAAGACATGGGCATAAACTATGATGGACATACATTTTCAAAAATAAGTGTTTTAGAAGTATAGAAGTATAATGTTAACAAGAATTTATTGTGAAAAAAAATCACTGACTAATCTTTTCAATCTAAAGTTATATCTAATTTTACAACTTTATTGCTGTGACAACAGAATGCAATAAGCTCTTAAACTCTAAAATTACTTAAAAAAAATTATGATTTAAACAGCTTTACAGCTAAAATAGTACATTTATTTTAACAGATTAATTAATGTTAGTGCTTTTTAAAAATTGTTTTACATTTCAGCTCAATTTTCAGCTCAATTTTTAAGTCCTTAAAAATTGTCCCCATTCACTTCCATTGTAAGTCTCACCATAACCAACATTGTCACATGTCTTGTGACTGTTCGTGATATAGGTTTAAAGAGGACCTATCGTGCTTTAAAAATATATATATTTTACCTTTCCTTTAGTGTGTAATATAGTTTTTTTTTTTTTACCTGCAATTTGATGCAGGTCAGTGTGTTAACAGAGAAATGTCACAGTTATAACATCACATCTGAAATATAAGAGAGGTATAATTTTAAAATTAAAGGTCGATTCAGGTCGATCAGTTTGTTCTTCTTGACTGTCATAATCGGATTGGGCTCAAACTGACAAAACTATTTTGCGTAGTTACAATATTTACATCACCTCAGGCAGCCTCAAGAGCTGATACCCATTTTGGTAAGTATGGGGAGTTCCTTTTATCCTTTAAACATAAAACAGAGCGTTCATACAGAGGATGAAAAATTTTTTTTTAAACATTAAATTATATAAACCTACTCTAGTATACTCCATAAACAAAAATATGAACCTGTAAGTGAGCATAATAGTAAAAAAGTAAGTGCGTAACAGCTATATGGTCACTATATGCTTTTGTTGCTTGGAAAAGAGCAAGTTCTTCTTTTGTTCCAAAAAACATAAAATCTTCACGTTTGGTAGCTAAAACACTGTAAGTTCATACCTTGTAATTGCCGATTCATATCTCGCCATTTAATCAATTCAAGATGTAGAGTAGCTTACACGTTGGTTGCATGAATATTACATCATGGTTTCATTAATTTAATTCCCTATCTGTCAGTCACTTAAATGTTGTGTCGATGTGATGACACTAGGGGTCGCACTTGGGAGCCCCAAACACCTCTGATACTTCAGAAAAGGCCAATGAGAATTGACGAGTGGAATTTGCATGCCATTGCCCATTGCCCCGGACTTATAGCTATAAAAGGAGGTGGCTTGCATCCATTCATTCAGATTTGTTCTTCGGAGCAAAGTGGTTGCAGGTGCAATCGCTCATTCCATTCACCTCTGTAAAAAGGAGGAAACCTTAATCTGCTGGTGTACATAGCGCATTACAGTGATCTCTCTTCCGAATGCACTGTTAAGTGCAGAGAGCTCCCCGGTCACGACTTTCTTTCTTTTTTTAGACAGGAAGTCACTTCAGTTGCTCAATGTCCTGGTTCTTCTGCTGTCAAGCAAGGCCTCGGCTGCAAGTACTGGCGATCTGGGGTTTCAATGGAAGCCCACGGGACTATCATTCCCCGGCACGCCCGTTTCCCCTGGTTGAGTTCATGAATGAGTTAATTTCTCATTCAGGGCTCGAGAAGAGCTTGTCGATGGCACAGGATAGAGTTGCCAATAGCAGTAGGGTGGGCTATTGCCTTAAGACGGCGAGGACTTGGCTGGCAGATGCCTAGTTAGTGGACATGCTTGCCTGGACCCACCATGAACATTGGGCTCCAGTGGAACCCTCCACCATGCCCTGAGCGTTCGTGGTTGGATGATTGGTTCTTGGGTTCGGAGTGCTGCTCACAGACACGCTCTGCCCTAGTTTATTTCTTCCCGGAAGTGCATGAGGAGCTCACAAAAGTCATGGAAGGCACCTTTCAATGCCATGTTGTGCTTCACAAGCTCTTCCGTCCTCACTACCCTTGATGGTGGGGCGGCCAGGGGGTACAGAGGTACACAAGTTGAATAGGCAATTGCGGTGCATTTATGCCCACAGAGCGCCACCACCTGGTGGAATCATCCTAGAATTCCGTCTAGGGCCTGTTAGTTCACTTCATCAATGAGAGTGAAGAGTGGGGACTCTAGGTGGTCCAGCTGATTTGAAGTCAATTAAGCAAAGCACAGGTAGATCTGATCGCTTCCTAGGAATACTCCCATTGCCCACAGCTGGCCCTGGGGCCTACGCAAGGTCTTCTGCTGTCAAGCAAGGCCTCGGCTGCAAGTGCTGGCGATCTGGGATTTCGCCATCAGGGAGGTGAAGTATTTCTCTTTCCCTGGAGAGCTGCTTATGAGGATGCTTCAAATGCTTGTTCTACCCCTCATCGTCTCCAGCCTTGTCACAGGTGCGCCTACAAAACACATCACTTCAATCTTTGCAGATAATTCGCTAACACTTTAAATTCCTTTACATTAGTTAATGCATTAGGTGTCATGAACTAACAATGAACAACAATTTTAAAGCATTTATTAATTTAGGTTAATTGTTCATTGTTTATTTATGTTCATTCATAATACATTAACTATAATATAGACTGCTGTTCACTATCACTCAAGCCAGGAGGCTGTTCTCCTCCACCTTAATGGTGGGCATTTATATAGTGCTATATATATTATATAGCTCCATGGCCACCAAAGCGCTTTACATATTGCCTTACATTCACCCATTCATACACCGACGGCGGTGTCAGCCATGCAAGGCGCCATCCAGCTCGTCGGGAGCAGCTGGGGTTGTCTTGCTCATGGACACCTCAGCACTTGGTCAGGTGGAACCGGGGATTGAACCACCAACCTTCCGGTTTGTAGACAACCTACATCAGGTTACTTAGAGGTCCCAGGAGGTTAAATCCTCCAAGGTCAACCCATGCAAGCATTCTCTGTGGGTCAGACATGCCTTGAGTTAGGTCCAGCATACTCTCATGTAATCCTGCGACCCCGGCCGAGCTATATGCCCAAAGTTCCCACTACTTCTTTCAGGGATCAGGTGGTGAACTTGCCAAGCGCTCCCTTGTGATGAGGCAGACCCAGCCTTATCATTGCTGTGTCCAGTGCGTGCTCTGCACATTTACCTGGACAGCATGGAGAGCTTCAGACACTCTGATCAGCTCTTTGTCTGTTTTGGGGGACAGCAGAAGGGGAAGGCTGTCCCCAAACAGAGGATTACCCACTGGATTGTGGATGCCATTTCTTTGGCATACCAAATCCAGGGCGTGTCGTGCTCTATGGGAGTGTGAGAACACTCCACAAGGAGTGTTGGATCCTCCTGGGCACTAGGGAATGGTGCCTCTTTAACAGACATCTGTAGAGCAGCAGGCTGGGCTACAGCCAAAACCTTTGCGATATTTTACAATCTCCGGGTTGAGTCAGTGTCTTCCCGAGTGTTATCAGGTACGAATAGGTAAATTTCGGGCAACTGGCAGTGTGTATTGCTTGCATAGAGTGATTTTCTCCTCCTTAAGGTGATAACTTGGGCTTTTTGTCCATGAGAGTTCCCTGTGTCTGGCGAACCCTGGAAGCCCTCCTATTCTCCAGTACTCATCAGTAGCTGAATACGGCCGAGGACTTCGCCGCCAGGCCCATTACTTGTGGTATGTCCCCTTTTAGGTGAGCCCTTGTACTTTGATTGGGTGCTCCATATATGCGCTGATTCCCTGTTGGTAATCCCATATGATGTATTTTCCACTGTTCAGTTTCCCTGTTGGCAAACTCTGTGTCTTCCATTGAGCCTCGTGCTGTCACCAGTCGCTATGGGTGTGAAGTTTCTCCCTTGCCAGGAAGAACCCACCATAGAGACTTCTTTCCACATGTGGTACTTCCTATTGGTAAGTCCATGTGATGTATTCTCTACATGTAAACCTCCCTTCAGGCAGGGTATGGTCTCTGCAGTGCCCTTTTTCCTGCATAGAAAAGTTACAACGTGGCCTGATGCACCTGATATTAGGCACACAGCAGCCTGCCTGCACCGCCAAACCTCATGACACAGTTCAGCTAGTTGCGCCGTTTCTTATAGGGACCCCTAGTGTCATCACATCGACACAACGTTGAAGTGACTGACAGTTAGGGAACATCTTGGTTACTATTTTAACCTTTGTTCCCTGATGAAGGGAACAAGATGTTGTGTCCCTCCTGCCACAACACTGAACTACTGCTTAAATGGCCGGGACACTATCTCGGCTCCTCAGCACACACCTGAATGAATGGATGCAAGACACCTCCTTTTATACCCAAATGTCTTGGGTGTTTGGGGCTCCCAAGTGCAACCCCTAGTGTCGTTAGATTGACCAAACGTCTCGTTCCCACCATCAGGGAACAGACACTCTTTGAGAAAAAGTGAACTTTAAGTCATGAAACATTGCAAGTCACAAAAAATGTTATCCTTGATATAATTCTCCTCAATGTTCTGCCACAGTTTCCCATGAAACACTCTTGGACCATGTATTAGAGCTGATTATGAATGAGAAGCCTCCAAACAGCACCAGCCTGTTTCTGAGTGAAGATTCTGAGAAGCCACAGCGTGCTGAGGAGGGGCTCCACCGTCTGTGTCGAGTATTACAGAAGCAGATGTCAGGAAGTAGGCGAAAGATGGGCTGCATCACACGAGACAGCGTCAAGACATTCCTGCGAAGGAATGCGTTTGTAATCTTCACAGTGGCTGCTGTGGCTTTAGGTAAAAGGTAAAAGGGAGGGAAGTGTGAAGTATGAAAGGGTTAACAGACGTTTCATTTTAAATTTCTAACTGTATGTAGGGGTGGTGCTGGGTTTTGCCTTGAGACCTCATAACCTGTCCATCAGGGAGGTGAAGTATTTCTCTTTCCCTGGAGAGCTGCTTATGAGGATGCTTCAAATGCTTGTTCTACCCCTCATCGTCTCCAGCCTTGTCACAGGTGCGCCTACAAAACACATCACTTCAATCTTTGCAGATAATTCGCTAACACTTTAAATTCCTTTACATTAGTTAATGCATTAGGTGTCATGAACTATCAATGAACAACAATTTTAAAGCATTTATTAATTTAGGTTAATTGTTCATTGTTTATTTGTTCATTCATAATACATTAACTACTGTTAATATATAGGCTACATCTTCAAATGTTTAAAAATATATAATATAGACTGCTGCTGTTCAAAAGTTTGAGATCAAAAAAAAAAAAAAAAAAAAAAAAATCAGAAGTGACAGTTAAGACAATTATAATGTTACTGAATTTTTCTATTTCAAATAAATGCTGTTGGTTGAACTTTCTATTCATCAAAGAATCCTAAATAAACGCTTTCCATAAAAATATTAAGCAGCACAACTGTTTTCAATATTGATAATAATAAGAAATGTTTCTTGAGCAGCAAATCAGCACATTAAAATATAAAACAGTTATTTTGTAATAATTTTTCACAATATTGCTGTTTTTACTGGATTTTTTTTATCAAATAAATACAGCCTTGGAGAGCATAAGAGACTTTTCTTTTTAAAACAAAACAAAACTTTTGAATGGTTAGTGTATATGAAAGCTATATATATTTAATTATCTATACTACATTAAGTATATTTAAAAATGAACATTGACCAGTTCTTGAGCAGAAACATTGGTCTTTTATTGTCATTTCAGTAGAAATGCTCAACTACAGATCCTTTGTGTCTTGGCTCATCATGTTTTTGTGCAGGAATTTCCTCTTTGGACAGCAAGGCTTCTGGGAAGATGGGAATCCGGGCCATTGTCTACTACATGGTGACTACGCTTATAGCAGTTTTCATCGGTATTGTCATGGTGATTATTATCAGGCCGGGTAAAGGCAGCAGGGATAGGCCAGTGGCCTCTAGTGGCAGCATTGAGCCAGTGCAGGCCGCTGATGCGTTTCTGGACCTGATAAGGTGGGGAGAAAGTTTCATTTGACTGTTGAAATCCTTGTTTATTTATTAGATGTTATGGGATCAGATTTTTTCTTGTTGTTTCTACAGAAATATGTTTCCACCAAATTTAGTTGAAGCCTGCTTTAAACAGGTTTGTAAATCCTCTCCTAATGCATTTCTATAAGATTAAAGTGCCTCTACTCATTTGGTACATGTAACAGATATTACTAATCACCCATTTTTCTTGCAGTACAAAACACTATACAAGAAAACTGTGCTGACAAAAAATGTCACCATCATGGTCAATGCGACAGACAGCATCAACTCTACAGATCTCAGCCAAGTATCCAACTTCAGCACAATCCTGCAGACCATCCAGGAGACGGTGGAAGAGGTGGTTCCTGTCTCAGGTTCCTCAAATGGGGTGAATGCCTTGGGGTTGGTGGTCTTCTCCATGTGCTTCGGATTAGTGATTGGAAACATGAAACAGCAGGGCCAGGCTCTCCGGGACTTCTTTGACTGCCTGAACGAAGCTATAATGCGCTTGGTGGCCATCATTATCTGGTTAGTGTCCTGATGTTCTGATAACCTATAACCTATATAAATTATGATGGCCCTGACAACAGAGTTAGTCATTTAAGATTCAATGACATGATGCTATCAATTTGTTTTTTAAACATTAAAAATGCAATTCATAGATATAATGACTGGAATACACCTCTTCAAAGGTTTTATTTTTGAATTTTTTGGGGACCATAAAGTAAAATTTCAGTATTCATTCACAACTATCTTAATATAATAATGAAGAAAAAGCACATAAAAGAATGAAATTCTTGAAAATAAAACCTTTAGGTTATTTGGTATAATCATTTATTATTATTAAAAAAATATATATTTTAACAAATGTTTCACTGCTTTGAGTCATGTGGTGTGACCAACAAAGTGATGTGGCCCAATCAACAAGCAGAAACATAAAAGAGAGGACCCCTGCAGACCCTCATGACTGTGTCAATTTCAATATGTCTTTTAAATTATCAGAGAATTTTACCCTTTTGTGGCATGGCAAGGTGTGTTCAGGTTGTAAAATGTCATGTGGTGTGAACTGATGATTCATAATATTTGTAAAAACAATTTTTTTTTTCAACTTCAAAAATATATTTTGCTTGCAGATAATGATTAAGATGTGTACACTGACACAGTTGTGGCCAAAAGTGATTTTCTGAGGTTATATTTGTTTTGAATGTACCTACAAGTTTGATGAAACTATCAAAATATGAGGAAATTATTTCATATTTTTATAATATATTTTAAATATGAGGTAAGAACTAAACACTTAACTTGGTTAAGGTATTTCTCTGACAAAATTATTTGTCAGGAATACAAAGCATACATTGACTACATATTTAGTTATTAATGTTTATTTTTTGGTTAATGTTTCATTTCTTTATCACAAATTAAACAATTGACTCCAAGCACAACTATGCAATATAATAAGATTTGCATAAGTGAAGATGTCAATTTTCCTAGGCCGGACATCACTTTTGGCCACTACTGTATATTTAAGGAACTTAAAATGGTATACATTTAAAAAAAAAAACCTGACACCTGAATTAAACTTTCTTAGAACTTGGTACAGTATATATATATTTTTTTTTCCAGTTTTTTTCCAGTTTTTCTTTTACTGCCACAGTTAAGTAATTCTGTAAATTAAACAATCTCTCTTCTCATTATTACACACAAGTTATTATTATTATAATGTTTCATTTTATATTGAGAAACTATATCCTTATGAGATTTTTTCTAAATATTATGATGACATATTAACTGATAATAATGTTTATTTTGAAGGTTCATATGAAGTGTCATTTCATAATGAGAAAGGTTCTCATTATTATTAACTTTGTCATTATTATGAGAAATTTCTTCTCAATGTAACAAGATGCTAAGTCATAATTTTGGGACACTTTATTTGTGGCTTACAGATTACTTTTTTTATTATGATTTATAGATTCATATTTTTTACTCAACTGTGGTGGAAATCGGCTTTCAGATAGCGTATTTGTCATTGGCTGGAGTAAGAGCAATTGTTTTAATATAGAAATGAAAATCTTTAATATATTTTTTATTTAAATTTCATCTCAATATCTTGAATTTAAAGGCTCTATTTATGTATGCAGAATTTACTATTATTGCTGTAAAATGTCTGTCACATCTGACCTCTGTTGAGCAGGTACGCTCCGGTGGGTATCCTCTTCCTGATTGCAGGGAAGATTGTAGAGATGAAAGACCTTGCTCAGGTGGGCGGACAATTAGGGATGTACACGGTATCTGTCATTGTCGGGCTACTCATCCACGGCCTGTTCGTTCTGCCTCTGCTCTTCTTTGTGGTGACCAAGAAGAACCCTTTCACCTTTATTGCTGGGCTGCTACAGGCTCTGATCACCGCTCTAGGCACCTCATCCAGGTAATCACCTGTGTAAATAAAATATTTGCTATATCTAATGGTAATCAGATGTTGGTAGTATTTAGGATTTTCTATAGATATAGATAGCATTTTTTTTGTATAGTGCAAGATGTGCCATATTTTCAATATTTTATTATAATAAAATTTGATAATATATACAATATAATTTTAGTTGAGTTAGTATGTGGAAAATACATCCTATAGACTCACCAGTGGGGAGGACTACATAGAGAAGAGTCCCTGTGGTGGGCTCCACCTGACGAGGGGGAGACTAGCTGCTTCACAGCGACTGGTGACAGAGCTAGCTCCGTCCAGGGGAAGACACTGGATTCACCGAAGGGGAAATTGAACAGTGAAAGAATACATCGTATAGGGTCACCATTAGGGAACAACTACATACGGTGCACTAGCCAGATTACAAGGGCTCATCTGAAAAGGGGTTCAGGGTTCACCATTTAAGGGAAACTCAGACTGGACCTAAAAAGTGCACGTTATCACCTCAGGGAGGAGAGAGGTGCTAATGCAAGCACTTCATCCAACCAGTTTGTCCGATTTTTACCTGTTATTACTTAAGACTCAAGACAAAACTGTTTCCATGCGTAGATTATAAAATCTCGCAATAGTGTTGGGTGTAGCCCCGCACAGAGCTCTATATATGACTGCTAATGAAGAACTGTTTGCCAGAGCAGATGTGGTTGCGAGGGAGTGTGCCCTCACTCCTGTACAAATCCTGAGCCTGATAAGCCCAGAGAATGGCATCCACAATCCAGTGGGCCTTTCATTGCTTGAAGACAGCCTTCCCCTTATGATGACTCACGGGGACTGACCCGGCAGCAGCTCTCTCATCGCAGCCCTCAGATCGCCTTCAGGACCAAGACGGGAATCAGCTGAGGATTCGCTGAGTACGACCGCAAAGTCTCAATGGGCATGCTCTCGCAGAGAGGAAGGCCAGAAGAGCACGGTCGGAACGGCATCTTTAAAAAAACACGATCTGCCTAAAGAAATTGCCTCTTTCAGAACGCCGCTGATGCACCCAGGGAAACTCTCTTCACTTATATGTTTATCCCCTTATTCATAGTCGGTGGCCGAACGCTGTTCCTTGCATTACCTCTGGGTCAGGACTACCCTCGTGGATTACCTCTGGGTCAGGACTACCCTGCCCTCCGAACCCAGGAACCAATCATCCACCCGTGTGCACTCAGGACAGGGTGGTGGAGACCACTCAAGCCCGATGCTCACGCCTGCCTGGGAAAGCATGGCTGCCAACTCTGCATTAGCCAGCTGAGTCATCTGCGTCGGAAGGTATAAGCCCGCCCTCAGATGCTGTGATCCTCTCGAGCTCCGAATGAGAAATGAAGCTTTCCTGAGGGTGAGCCACCAAACTCATCCAGAAATTTGACTGAGGAGAATGAGCATGAGATGCTCGCGGGGACTGACCTGGCAGCAGCTCTCTTATTGTAGCCCTCAGATCGCCTTCAGGACCAAGACGGGAATCAGCTGAGGATCTCTGCTTTTTGTTAAAGAACAAGATTCACGACCACAATGTCCCAATGAGCATGATCTAGCAGTGAGAGCATGAAGCATTCACGAAGGACACGGAAGAGAGAAATCACCCGCAACCAGAAGAGCACGGCCGGAACGGCATCTTTAAAAAGACGTGATCCGTCGTGCAGCTCTTTTGAAAGGAATTTGCACTTTTAATAAGGAATTTTTTTTCCGAACAATGCTGATGCATCCAGGGAAGCTCTTTGCACTTATATGTGCACACTGGAGTCCGCTGTTCTATGCTGATGATCCAGCTGGAACCGTTTCTTGCAGAGGTGAATGGAAATTGCTTCTCTTTAGTATCAAGAGTCGCTTAGGTGCCGAAGAACAAAGCTGAAGTGTATGTGCAAGCTGGCCCGCCTTATTTGGCGTGGCCTGGCATGCAAATTCCACACGTCAATTCCATTGGCCTTTTCTGAATATGTCTCTTAAGGGCGACCCCTAGTGTCGGTATTTCGACACAATGTGACATTGTGACAGACAAAAAGGGAAATAAATTTACAATGTTAGCTGTGGAAACGTGTCATCATAGTCTGTGATAACTATACACACCTGAATAGATTTGAATTGACACCTTTAGTTTTAACAGCACATGCCACTATGGTTTTATTATTTTCTTGTCTTTCTCAGCTCTGCCACCCTGCCCATCACTTTCCGTTGTCTTGAAGAAAACAACCATGTGGACAAACGAGTGACACGTTTTGTGCTACCAGTTGGAGCCACAATCAATATGGATGGCACAGCTCTGTATGAGGCAGTGGCGGCCATTTTTATTGCACAGGTCAATGACATGGACCTGAACTTTGGCCAGATCCTCACCATCAGGTTAGTACTGGCAGTGTTTATCTCTCATCCATTTAGCAAAACATTCGTACTTTGCCAATTTTTTTCCTTGCCAACAACTTCTCCTATGAGCTGTTTTCCAAAAAACTCAACTTTTTCCAAATTGAAAAGCTCTCATGTTTCTCTCAGTATTACGGCGACTGCCGCTAGCATCGGAGCAGCAGGCATCCCTCAGGCTGGGCTGGTTACTATGGTGATAGTATTGACATCGGTGGGACTGCCCACAGAGGACATTACACTGATCATCGCAGTGGACTGGTTCCTGTGAGTCTCTCTCAAATGTCACGTTGAAGCATGCGGCTCCAGTAGAGAGCACTCTTTCAAAGGTTATTGATACATAATGCAGAATGCTAATCTGAAGGAGTGTTAGCAGCATTGACACATTCCACTTTCAGATTGTGCTTCCATAATACTTAACACTGAATTGAAAACATTGAATGCTTCTCTTCAGCGACTGATTCGAGTATTAAACTTTGTCGCATAACTAGTCAGGCTCCTGTGCTACAGACATAAATGATGCCACAAATCATGCGGTTTGTTGAAAAGAGGTGTGATTTTACTTTTTTTTTAAGCATTCGATGATTTACAGTTACAAAAAACGAAAAAACAGGCTAAAAAATGCTATGTACTTGCTTTGACAAAGGGACCCAAGACAACTCTGAATGTCCAGAGATTCATAGAGATGTGGACCCGTTTGACTTGAAGCACTACCCTTAATTTCCTTTGTTTTCTCAGAGTAGCCCTCTCTTCCAGTTCCAGTTTCTCCAGTCTTACACCACCTAGTAACGCCTTAGCAATCACCCACTACACCCTAGGAACTGCATTATGAAACATTATGAAACACAACAACATTATGAAAATCACTCAGAACACTTGCATTGCAGCACCCTAAAAATAACATGGGTACACCCTAGCAACACTGTGACAACCATTGCAACACTCCAGCATTGTGTTGACGAGTTTTACACAGCAAGCACCACTCACGGTTTTTAGAAAATATAAAAAGGTGTAAAAAAGGGTTTAATATAAATATTTGGTGTGGTTTTTCAGGGATCGACTCAGGACCACCACCAATGTGCTGGGAGATTCATTTGGTGCTGGGATTGTTGAGCATCTGTCACGACAGGAACTTCAGAACCAAGATGTAGAAATCAACAACTCTGTGATCGAGGAGAATGAAAAGCCATATCAGCTGATTTGTCAAGAGAACGACTCTCTCAAGCATCGCAACAGTGAAACCCCCATGTAATCATTCTCATATGGTTAAAGGTCACAACCTAAGCACTGTTATAGAGAACATTTTCTTCTGAAAATCAGAACTGGCAGAAAAAAATGTTGGAAAGAAGACAGCCATATAAGTATGTGGAGAATGTAACATGCCAATCCAACGTTTTATCCCTCAGTACTTTTATTTATTTTGAAAAAAATTACATCCCAAGGCAAAGTAGCACCCGATTAAAGAACACTATGCTAGTTTTATGATGCTAATTTGAGACTGTTGTTTTAGAGTTGATGTCATTAAACCAGCATGATTCACAATGTCTTTCAGACGTTTAAGCTATATTACCTCATATACACAAACACAATGCCAAACTCATAGATGTATGTAGAGACAAAGGGGACCTTTTTGAGTTACTTTGTTGTTATTACTGTTATCTAACTTATAAATGATGTCATTTTTGTAGATGTTTATATGGTATTGTAATCAATTATTTATATAATGTAATGTTTCTTTAATGGATTTAGCATTTGCTTTCCTCACTGTGACGTGATAAACTGTGAAGTAAATAATTTCCCCCTTAAGAATGGCTTTTAGTAACATCAGTTCTTGATAGCTTAAGCAGGTGAATGATGGATGGTTTATAAAGAATTAGATTTTAGTTTTGTGGTGGAATGTGGCTGTTAATCTATGATTATTTAGTGTGTTCTGGTTCTTTAGCCAGTTTGTGTTGAGCTGCGCCGTTTGTTTTATTTATATTTGAAGTCTGTTTGCCTGCTTTATAAAAATGCCCAGATTGTGCTGCCCATATTGCAGCTGTGTCTGTGTGAAATAATTGAATCTTTACCACAGTCCCCAAAGGTTTCATAGTTTACTATAGGTCAGTATTGGTATTACGGATTCACTTCAAAATCCTCACTGGGTTTTGATAAACAGTATATTTATACTTTTAGTAGTGTTACGTCCAAAGACGTATATTTTTGTGAGGACTGCATGGTGTGGTATGTGATTGCTTTCTTTTGTGGTTGTATTGTGTCTCCTGCTCTCCTTTGGCTCCTCCCACTCCTTCACTCTGGCAGGTACTGTCGCTGATTGCGTGTCCAGCTGCACCTGCTTGCCGACCAGGAGGGAAGCAGCATAAAGCAAGCAGAACTCTCAATCGTGGAGAACCTTTCTCCAGAGCATGATCTGTGTCCTGGCTGGTCCATTTTTTGGGAGCTGTTGTGCTCCTTTTTGTGGATCTGGGTGACTCTTTTTGCATTTTCTTTTGTTTTGGCTTAGAGTATTGTTGCTGCTTCATTGTGAGACGTCCCTGCAGTCTAACCTTTGCTTTACCATTTAAGCTGTTATTCTCCTGATTTTGTTTTTATTTGATTTTTATTGCTTGGGAACTGTAGGGAGGTGGGTGCCATTTGTATTTTGCAATCCCCTGTTTTCTCCTGGTTTGTGGTCAGGTAGGGAGTGAGTGTACATTTCTGTTATGCGTTTGTTATATTCTTTGAGAGGCTTAGTCCACCCCCCCCCCAGGTAGACTAAACTTTAGTTTATTTTGGCATTGTCCCCTTCTGAAGTCTTTGTTTCCTCCCCAAGCTTTACTCTTAAGTAAATTGTGATATGTTAAGAACTTTTGAATAAAACTGTTAAAAAGAGTCCTGTCGTTGTGGTGCTGTGGCAGGGCCCAGACAAATGCTCTTTAAAATCTTAGTTTTATTACGTTCTGAACCCTAGACACTCATAGGACGTAACAGTAGAGATTATTAAATGCAAACTACATGTGAAAATGGTGTTATGTTGTTAATATTTCTTAAGTATTTATATAACAATATGGTACAATTTTGTTTGTATTTATTAAGTTATTTTGAGGTAATGGTACAATGTGGGCATATTTTTGGCTTTTTTTTTTTTTTTTGGTATTTTGAATTCTGGAAAGTGTTAAGATGAATAAATGTCTCAGGAATAAAAATTCTCGTTTTACAGCGGTTGTCTTGTCACAACAAACCACACACATTTGCTAACTCTAGTTAGCAAATACCATAGACTGTAAAAAATACCAGTGTATATAACACTCTCAAAACAGCATCCTCTAGTGGTGTGTAATAGTAGGATTCAGGAATTTTGAAAACTTCTTTCACATTTATATCATGTTAATAGAAATGAATAAATAGTCACTTTGAGAATAGAGGGCCGGTTGCATAAACCTAGCCATTGTGGAAGACAGTGTCTTAAGTTCTAGTATGACCCACTCGCAGTCAGTCTGTCTTTTCGGTATAAAATTAGGCTAATCTACAGGTAAAAAAAGCTATGGTAAGTCTTTAAGAAAACAATTTGTCTAATTAAAAGTCTAACTTGTAAGACTAGTCTTAGCGGTTTATGCAACCGAACAGGTGTCTTCTATAGTCTGAGAATGATGTGTGACTTCTCCCCTTCCTTGATGTTTTTTTTTTACCCTTTTGATCACATTGTTCAAACAGAAGTTCCCTTAAATTCACAATATGTAAGATTTTTGGATTAAAATATCCAAAAACCACTAGAACAATGTTATATATTTTGTTAACTTGTGTACTTCCATGATCCCAAATGATTCCGACAATGCTTAAATCCAGAGAAATCAGCTATTTTAATCAGTGTAACGCCCCGTGTCATTGCGTCGCCTGACAATGACGTCTTATCCGCGTTACCCTCGATTTCCGGTTTTACTTCCGTAGAAACCATGGAAACACCAAAGACGCTTTAATATACGTGTTTTATTAGACAGATTAGCAACTGTTTGGATAGCAGCCGACTGCAGCATATAAGCTTTTTTTTTTCTTCATTTATAGCGCTTTTAACAATATAGATTGTTTCAAAGCAGCTTTACAGTGATAATAGGAAATTAAAGTAACAGAGATTGTTTGGCTTTACAGCAGCTCTCTAGAATAAAGTTAATGTCCAGCTAAAGTTAGTTTTGATTGATTCACTTCCGTTGCAAAGATCATCAGTTATTAACTTAGGGCCCGCTAACACGACACCGTTCTAACAGAAAACCCTTAACGCGCTCCGGCCCGCTCATCCGGACAACAACAGTGCCTGGTGGCTCGAGAACGCAAACCTTGAAATAGGTTCCAAGGTGCAAGTCTTAAAAAAAAAAAAAAAAAAGGTTATCTCTGCGCAAACTTCAAAAATGCAAACCTGTGAAAACGCTGACGGCGTGCACATGCGTATTACGTGTTTAGTCTATAGGCATGCGTATTTGAATATATATGCGCAGACGTGTAGTCTTTCTTTACAAATTGACCTCAACAAATTACTTGTCTGGCCTTAAAAATGTATAATACAGAATTATTTATCGCTTCCGCATAGCCATGTGAACTGGAATTATTTTGACAAAGTTTTATCTGTACAGAGGTAAAGGGAAGGAGAAGGGGACCTTCACATGGGAGAGACTAGTTGACACTTCAGGACTGCGGCCTGGATCCAGCGGACTGCGGTAAACCTCGGGATAAACAGAGAGACTAATATTAGCGTAGACGCCATCCTTCTTATGATGTAACGAGTACATCAGGATGTACAAGTACATGTGTCTGCTTCCCGGACAATGTTAGGAAGACTGTTCCAAAGTTTTGGTGCTAAATAGGAAAAGGATCTACCTAAAGGATCTCATTAAAACATAATCGTAAAATGTCCCAGCCCTGCTTCATTCAACAGTAACGTTAATAAAATTTGAACACATTAGCCTATCCATGAACATGAGTTCTGTCAGATTTCTTTCCATCGGCTGTGGACGACAACTTCCATGATTCCACCATCATTCATGGCATCATCATCATGCTACGCCTTTGTAATGGTTTTGAATAAGCGACCTCGAGCAGCGAAACTTACATACTGTGCCTTAAAAAGACACAATTATTTAGATCTTTTTTAAAATTTCTTGTTGATAGTGTAATCCATCCATCAATTTTCCAAGCTTCTTGTCCTTTGTAAAGTCCCAGGGATGCTGGAGCCTATCCCAGTTACGCCACGCAGAGATAATAGCATAATATCTTTTCTATATCAAAATGTAAAATGTGTGAAAATGTATAAAAGTGTAGATTTCCAGAAAGAACAAAGACATCCAAAAGGCAAAAATGGTGCAGACCTATATCCAATAAAAACAAAATGATTTTCAATATTTTTCATTTATTTTTATATATAAAAATCAGTTGTGTTTAACATACACAAGATATTCTGTAATTGCACTATAAATTGTTCGAGAACAGTCATACCAGCTTAATGGACTCTATAGAAGAGCTTGTATAAGTTATAGAGACTATACATAGCTGCAGAGATTATAAACAACCTTCAACAAGTCTCAGAGAAGAATACTTTGGCATATAGATTAACAGTCATTTGAGAGGACATCTAAATATCACAATATATCTGGATAACATACTGTTTGGTAGTGAATGTTATGAGTCTACATATATTTTCTTATACATATATAAGAAAACAGTGAGAAGGCTGGATTTTCATCAATCACCTGTCTTCCCTCAAATTTCACTTGGTCTGAAAGAAAACAACAACAACAACAACTCTGATTACTTTAATATTAGAGTTTACCAAGGTAAGTATCTTTAAATTGAAGACTAATGCAAACAACACCAACAACAACAACAACAATAGCGATATTTTCCCCATTTATTTTCTCCATTGCCATTTAAAAAAAAAAATCTTCAAAGAAAATTCTTAGCCATGAATCAAACCGGATAGCATCTAGATTAATCATACATTTTAAAATAAAAAAAGAACAGTGGTACAGAAAAAAACTATTAATTTTTTTGAATGAGTGAACAATTTATCTCATGAAGCTTTATAAATTGCGTAATTGAATCAGAAACTATGATGATGGAAATTAATGGATGTATAACTATTGACTAGTCATTAATTATTATTATGAAATACCATATATTTGAGGTTTATAGCAAAGTATATGAAATTTATACAAATATATGTTATTTAAAAGTGTAGACTCGATTAAGTCATTCACTACAATATGCACAACAATACCAAATTGGTTATCTTCCGATAGTAGAGTTTATTTTATTTTATTTTAACAGTATCGGATGATATGGAAAATTATGAAAGCTTGTTTCCACCACCGAATAAAAAATAACAAAGGTAATTGTGACTTTTTATCTCACAATTCTGACATTTTTTCTCAGAATTGTGCGATATAAACTTGTTAAAGTTATAAAGTCAGAATTGTGTGATATAAAGACACAACCGCAAGTTATAAAGTCAGAATTGTTAGATATAAACTTGCAATTCTGAGGAAAAAAAGTATTTTTCCCCTCAGAATTGGACGATAATCACAATGCTGACTTTTTTTCTCAGAATTGCGAGAAATAAACTCACATTTGCAAGTTATAAAGTCAGAATTCCGGAATAAATGTGACCTTTTTGTAATTGTGACCTTTTTTCTTGCAATTGCGAGTTTATATTCCGGAATTCTGTCTTTATAACTTGCAAATGTGATTTTATTTCTGCAATTCTAAGAAAAAAGTCAGCATTGTGAGATAAAAAGTCGCAATAATCTTTAAAAAATGTTATTCCGTGGCGGAAACAAGCTTCCATAGAAAATACATATTGGCCATAACCAACGCATTCTCATCCCAAAGCGTAATATATTGACTCTTTTGACAAAGCGTCTATCCAACGCACATGGCACCCTTTAGCGTCAATATAACACGCTTCGGTTTTGGGTAGGTTTAGGTCTGGGGTAGTGTTAGGGTTAGACCACTAGGAGGCGCCATATATCTGCGTCTCATATGACGCTAAAGGGTGCCATGTGCGTTGGATATAGACGCTTTGTCAAAAGAGTCAATATATTACGCTTTGGGATGAGAACGGGCTGCCATAACATGAAAATAATGATTGGCTTATTGATATCGTCCAGAACTTTCAATATATCTGTGCATTCTTATTCACATCGTCCAGAACTTTCAATATATCTGTGCATTCTTATTCACAACTCTTCATGGGAGTAGTCGGTCGCTGCTGAACCTTTATGCACCAATTTCCATTTCCATGGTAACAGCAACATCTCTAATTGGTGGATCTCTCTTCAGGGTTATTGGTAATGTAGTTCTTTTGCTGGGAATTTACCAATGAAATGCAGTTTTGTTTCAGATAAAGCTGAAATAACACTGACTTGTGCCTTCTACAAAATCATATACCACCCCTATACCTCTGAGCTCATGGTAGGTCCATCATGAAAGGTTGATATCAGAAATCAATATATTGATGCAAAAAATGAATGGGATTTTTTACTTCTTGCACTCCAGATCTTTTTTTTACCTTGTTCATCTTTTGGGAGTTAACAACAGCGACCTGTCAATAAAGAGAAAATGGTTCTTCAATACTCAATTAAGTTTTATTTGGACAGCAATACTGCCATTACTTCCATGGAGGTGTTACCTCCGACATGACGGGCAGATTCATATGCCGATGTGGCCACAAGGTCCTGTGGGCTTTGGCTCCCTGCCTCTGGTTCAGTTTCCGTAGTAACCTCTTCACCTTCCTGTCCCTTGGATCAGCGCACTTCACCGCCTTTTTGGTGTACAATCTGTCATGATTCAAACAATCGAGAACATGAGTGCCAAGATTTCAAGAGCTCCCTCCAAAACCTCTCTCTTTACATACAGCAAATCCCAAATCTCTTAATCTGCTACGCTTCAAGTTAGCGCAGGCCAAATTGGCCCCGGTGAAGAAACAGTTTGGGTATTGTCCACCCAGCCTGAGTGCATTCTTTTGCTCTACTTGCCTGACAATTACTGCTCTCAGTAATAAAAATCTGACCTGCTTAGACGGCAATGCCTGTGAGCTTTAATAGGGCATATTTTCCATGTCTGTGATTGTTCCAGGATGCCTGGAATACTTGCATGATGGCTCTTATGCTGCAATCCGGCCCCTCCGTCTGCCTCTCATACCTCAGGACGTCTTTGGTCCGGACTTTGCCGTGAGAGTACTGCATGCAGCACTGAACATCTCGCTGCATTTGCACACCTTTCCCTGGCATAGAGAGAAGTCACAAACCAGCAGCAGAATTCAAGAAAGATTCACACCTGGAACCCATCGTCAAGTATCATAACTGATGAAATTATGCATTGAAACTGGCATGTTCAACAGTTTGCAGAGGAAATCGAGTGTCATCATCCTTTTCGTTCTTTTTGGAGCTTCCTGTGGCAGGCACAGCCTCCCATCATGCTTTAACCTCCTATTCTCAGACATGCGTGAAACTCCAGCATCCGAAGCTTCTGAACCAGTCTGGCTATCATAGCATTATGCCTCTTTCCCTCCCACCGAGATCTGGTCCCAACCGCCCCATTCCGACATCACAATCAGATGCGAGAGAGAGTTTCACCTTACCTTCCAGGCAGCCGAAGAGGACGGCCGAGAGGAAGAGGATGGAGACAGTCTGCAGGAACATGGTGGAACCTCAGAGGGATTTTTTCCTCCGTTCTGTCTGCTGTCCTCTTGTGCTGTTTTTATTTCTCTCCTCTCTCCCTCCCTTCCCCTATTTTTTCTCTCACGCGCTAACACACCCACAATCTCCCTCGCTCCCCCCCTCGTGTGCTGTTTTCACAGTCGTAGCATCTCCCCTCACTGTTGAGAAACGCACAACTCTCTTCAATTAACACATTGAGCTGTGCAAGCGATGGTGCAATGCATGGCATTATTACTGCAGTTTTAAGCCCATCATCCCTGTTTGCTATAGAATACAATAAATCAATAAAAAAGTCTTCCAAACATTTGAAGAAACACGATTAAAAACAGCCGTCTTCAATGAAATATGGGCCTGAAGTTGAATGATGAAGGGAAGGAAACACCTTACAAATGCCTAACTTTTTTTTGGAAACTTATGATTTATTGCAGTCAAAAATGTTAGAGCTAGAAAAAATACAGTCCTGGGGTCTGCAGGGAGGAGTGTGAGAAAACACTCGAATAAACAAAACATCAGGAATCAATATGGATACTCGCAGACATTTAGAGCCTGTCCTCATGTCAGGTTCTTGAGTCATGTGGAGAAACTGTTTTGGGACTTTATGGTCTTGGCATACCTGGGATCATTAGATTAAAAATATGCCCTCTGCGTGTCCAAGGTGGGTGTGGAAGGCATGCGAAAACATACCCTGCCCATGACCTCATGGAGTCCATGGGCCAATCGTCTTTCCCGCATATCTCTTTGGCAATTAAAGTATCGCTGTACAGCATTCTGAACAAAACATGCCAGCCTCTGCTCAAAGAAACCTCTGTTCTTCTGTGAATGAAGAACAACTTCATGGGCCTTTGACAAATGAGCACAGCTTTTACATTACTAAAAAACTGCATCATCTGCTTGAGTATCTGGAAAAACAAAACAAACAAAATGATTTGTTTCGTTTACTTGAGTAGTGGAAAAAATCGAGGATAGTCACTGAGAGGTGGCACGTTTGAACCCAATACCCATTGTGACTTGAGCCTGATTAGCAGTCCTTGTCAGTTAACAAACCAACTGCATCATCCCAGGGAATGGAGTTACAAAAGATACAAATTCTATTAATTACTTAACATGTCAAAGTCATCTTCAAAATCAATTGTGAGTGGCCTTTGCTCATGCTTAACTCATGACAATGCCTATGCAAAGTGTTTCATCATGTTTCTGTGTGGATACAAAGGTGTTCCGGCCCTAAAAAAAAAACAGCATTCCTACTTTAAAAGTAAATATTTTTTTGAGTAAATCCCCCCTAATTGTAGAAATGATAGCACACCATTTTTCAAAAGCGGCACAATTTGAGATGTAGATTTTGTTGGTGATGGGTTCAGTCCATTGCAGTAAGACATCTTAGGCATCTTCTGTTAACTTGTCATTGAAGCATGTTACAATAGCCCATCCACATGAAGACAACTATGCGAAGAATTCTCAGCATGCATTCTTCATCATGGTCTTAAATTGCTCATGTAATGACTCACATACTTGCGTGCCTTCATCTAAACTTAATTAATTTTATGTCCTGGATCAAGATATAAAGCCAACTTAACTAACGTAAAATATTGGTTTTCAATTTTTTTGGCAATGTTTTTATTTCTGCTGGATCGACAGCATCGCTCACACTGCGAGACCACTAGGACTGTCCATTCAAGGCAGACTGCTTTTCCCTCGGGACACGCTTTAGTTAAATCTCTGGAAAGACGCATTCTATGGTGAGATGAAAATGCACATTCTGCTCAGTTCCTCCTGATCTGGTGATTCATAAAAATCTTGGGATTGGTTGCCATGTAAAATTTGGTCTTTAAGCTCTGTGCCTGAAGACAAAGTCCCAGATATTAAGAGAGTAACAGTAATGCCTATCTCATCCTGGATATTGAGGTAGACAGGTAGTCTGATTATGCAGATGGGACACTGCTCATAGTTCTCTCACTGACCTTCTGACGCATTTTGAACAATAAAACGGGAAAGCACTTTTGAAAAGTCGCAAGCTTCAATCAGATTTGATTTTACACAATTACTGGAACCACTGCACAGGCCAAAAAGAAACATTGTTTCTAAAGGCCTGTTCATTGTTTCTTTTTTCTCGATGGTCTGTCCACAAGACTGTAGGGGGCCCATGTGTCATTTTAGGTTTCAGAAGGTGACCCACAAGCACCCCCTTGATGAGTGCACCCTTTGACCCCTGAGGCTAACTCCACAGTGGACTCCCTCAAAACAGCGAAGCTCTTGAAACCAGTAGTTTTTGCAGTAAGGGCCTTTGAGCACTTTCAAGGAAGAACTGATCGCTGCCAAAATTTGCCATATTAGTGCCATTAAATCTTAATCTAAAGCACAGCAGTATTTTTTGGTATATTTTCTGCCTGTGAAATAATCAGTACCTATTCATTTTGGCCCATCATAAATTCATGTCTACATGCATTTTCTTGCATGTACTTTTTATACAATTATTCACAGAAATGCCATAATTTGAGTTTTTCCATTTCTAGTCACTGTAATACATTTCAGATTTATGGCATATAAAAACAAAAACTGTTGCTGGTTCCTCACAGGTTGGTAATAAGGCCTCTTCTGGTTTTAATGAGCAGAATAACTCATGGCCAGAATAATCTGCAGACCAGACTTTCTACTGATAATCCAAAGTCTAGCAATACAAGAAAAAAAGAAAGAAAAAAAAGCATAAATTCACGCATATAATTGTATCCCACTTGCACAAGAAACACACAACACCCAGAACAGATAAAAGAGCTTCACTTTATTTAAACACTATACATGGTTATAAGAATTGGACAACAGAGAAAAATACAATTGGCATTTTACAACTTTGACAACTATACAATATTTTCAAACTGCCCAAGCATACCAACATCACAATAATAATAAAAAACATGTTCAGCCAGTTTGCCTCTCTTTTGATTTCTCGAATATGAGAGGGAACTTGTTGACAGTCTTTATATTCATATGTATGCACCTTTTCAGTCAGTCCAGGGTACCTACACAAGAGTGATACAGAAAACAGAGTTGAGTTTAAAGTTTAAATTCAATTTCCCTCCACAGGTCTTTTGTTCCGAACCATAGTAAGTTTGCATCATTGACCTAAGTGTCTCTGTAAGTACTAGGTGCAACTGTTTACCATTTGGGGCTTAGTTCTAGGAACTAGCCACCTGGGAGGTCCTCCAAGAACAAAATTTTCTCTTAGGGCCATTTTCCAGGTTGCAATCGCACCGCCAGTAGGAACTCTGAAATTACGCAAGCCAGCCAACAGCAAAGTCTTTTAATTGCAGCATTCAACAACTGGAGGATGGAGAATGCCGCGATCAGAGCTGCGTTTTAGTTGTGTGCTGTGGGTTCAGTGAAAATGGAGATGGAATGTAGACACACAAGTAATGCGAAAGTAATGAAAGACCAAGTTGGAGATTTCTCTTAGCCCTCCTATTTGCTAAGACTGGAAAACTGGTTATAGGGAACGACCACTTCTTGAGAAGACAAAGAACCCACTGCATAGTAGCATTTGGGCTCGCTCTTGTGAAGGCCCCATCCGAGACTAGAGGTCTCAGCTCTGAATCATCCTAATCTACATTTCTTCCCCTCATCCCCCACTCCATCCCCTTCATGCAGATCACCTGAAACTCACATAAGAATATATGTATGGTTTGATATGAATGATTATCATTGAGTATTATGTTTGGTATCATTTGAAATGTCTCAAGAATGAGTGGTACAAATGTCTCATTCCCAAACTATAAAACAAAAGGAAATAAGGTTTTTAAGAGTTTAGGAATAACTGGCACACAAAGGAATGTGGTCTCTAGGCACTCCCAAAGGTGTAAATTCATGAATGCTAATTTCCACTGTTCTTCGCAGATGGTCAAACTTCTACCCCCAGTAATGGTGGGGGAATACAGTAAATTTCCACTAAACTCTAGTTTTACATATCAAATATGTAAAACTACATCGAGAGCTCAGGGCTCTTTCTGTATCTCAGATCAGCCCGTGGATACTGAGTCACCGAGACTCAGCATTCATGTATTTCATGTCGGGTAAAAGATTTTCCTCTTTGTTCTAGAACATTTGATGATTTGCATTGATTATCTTTCAATTGACTATGGAATTGTTATAATACATTTACCTGACATAATAAATTGTTATATTTGATTATTCTAACAGACTTTGACTTTATTTTCATTGGAGTTAAAAGGAATAGTCAAACATTAACGTATACTTAATGATGCACAGATATCATTGAAAAACACTTTCATTTTATGGAGTCAGATGAAACGAGTTAATACATAAGATAAAATGTATTCTATTTAATTAAAAATCCCTTTGCCATCATGGGAAAAGACGGAACACGCGTTGAGACCTTCACCGCTAATTTGAATGCCGCCATTGGATCAAATTAGACGGACTTAGTGCTACATATCGAGGCTGAGAAAAGGTCCCAAAACCGCAGACAAAGGCAACATACAAATGACATCAATATTAGCTTTCTGTATGTTATGTCTTATTGCTGTCTTCCATGTACGTAAAATATGTATTGTAAACGTTTACACTGCTTTTTAAAAATGGCAGGTGCCAGTGTTTCGTATGGCATGTGTTCGACCAATCAACGTACACTTACATCACTGGTAGTTGCTATTGTGCTGGAATAGACCCTACTCTGAGGTAGGAGCTAATTTAGTCCCCCTAAATGGCGGTCCTATAGCTAAAATCGTTCCCAGTTCCTGCGGTGCGAACACGCCAAAAAGCGCCAATAGTTATATGCATAGGCATAATGTGCGGGTGGGATGAGTGGGTGGGACATGTCCCAACCACTTTTTACCAGGGTCGATATTGTCCCTACCACTTTTTAAAAAATATCGCGGCACGGATGTAGGCCTACCTAACACAAAAACAAAACATCTCTAGTTAACTAGCAGAGCATTCATTTCATTTGTTAAATAAGAGGATTGGAGGAAATAAGAGGATTCAGAGTTCTAGCGCTGAAATGTGTTGTTTTTTAAATTAAGCAGCTGGTGCGGATACAGTGTTCTCTTGTGGCTCGCGCACAGTCTTCACACGGACGCACGCTTTAAGCTATCGCTTAACGCCGTTGCGGAAACTCTATTCGTTCCGGTGAAATCACAAAACAAAATGCACATATTCGCGTTTGATAAAAAAAAAAAAAAACTATATGAGTGCGGATTAGAACCCGGAACCTCTGACACGCTTGGCAAAAGTTCTACCACTTGATCATGAAAGTACACAAGCAAAATTTGCGGATCTATGGATTTATTCACGTGAAAATTCTCGACACTAACAATATTAGTAGCTCTCATTAAACGACAAATTAAACCCATTATTTAAATTGATTGGACATCGTAATGTTATTGTACATATATCTGACCACCCCACCCCACTTTTTAAAACAAAGTTACGTCACTGGTTATATGATGAACTATGGAAACGTTTCTCGGGTACGAAAGCCCCTATTGTAACTAATGATTAAGGACAAAAACTGGGATTTAGGACAGACTGCATTTCACACTTAAAAATAATCACATAGAGTAAAGAGTATGCGTTTGGCGTGCTGTCCAAGGATAGGGCTCCGAGCTCAGTATTTTGGCCCGAACACAGAGTACTCCTCCCCGTATTCCTGGCTGTGATAGGAAATCAGCCAAGAGTAAGGAGTCGGGGTGGTGGAGGGATCCTGAAAACTGCCGAGGAACATAGGCGAGTCGACTGCGTATACATGTATATATGCCACCTCAAAGGTCTGCACAGTCACATATAATCTGAAACCAAGGCACCAAGATTGTTTGGTTTTAGTTCTGCCGTTCTTGGAAAATGAGGTTTGAAGGTAGGAAAGAAATATAGGCAATCAGAATGATCCATAAAACTCTCCCTCACTCCTTTAAACCATTGCCAGCAGGAAATAACATTAAATTATGTCTCCCTTACCTTCCAAAAATGCAAATTCATCTATTGCTTCAATAGCATTATCTGCCAAGAGAAAAAGCACCAACCGTTACTTCATCAATACCACTGATGTTTATAGTTAAAATTTCTATTTAAACCATTTTAAAATGTAACGTTTTAACTTACCCAAGTCTTTGCGTTGAAGAGTTTTTCTCTTTCCCTGTTGGGCATAAACAAGAGCGTCCTTTGCAATCATTTCAACAAAAAGCTCCTGCAGGCAGAAAAACAATTTTGTTAACTCTTAGCTAAGATTTGAGATATGTCTTTACCCAACCAAGTGTATAGGTGGGAGCCATCCATAAAAGTTGTCCTGGGCCTTTGTTAGGCACAGGTCTATCAAGAAGATTTACAACATATCAAATAATCTACCCTGGTTTGAATTCAGAATATCCAGACAGACAAGCATTGTATCCGTGAATGTAATGTTATAATGATGACAGGCCCATAGACGAACTAGTATTAAAATATTTTTAACAGATCATCTCTCCTCTTTCATACATTTTATCAGCTGCTATGTCATAGGAACAGTCACACGGCAGGACTGTGAACCTTTTTTTGACACTATGAGAACTTCATCTTCAACATTTCTGCCATGTAAGACAATTACAGTAATGGGCTTTCACTGCGCATAAACGGCCACACTTTATAAAGCAGTTAGTTCGAACTGATTGTCCGAGCGGCATTAGTGCTTAGTTATTAGTATTTAGTTATATTACACTTGCTCATGGGATAATGCTTAAATGTGATCTGAGACCGTCTTACGCATAAAACTTTACACAAAATCTGCAACAAACTACAGACAAGAAAAGAAAACCCTGGAAAAACATATAGTGTGCACTAGGCAGATAGATGTGAAATTGACAGATACATTGATTGTCCTATAAGACAAGAATGGGTATTGTTCAAAATTCATGTATAACTTTGATGAAAGGTTTTGATCCACTTCAAATGTTGACTACTGTGTGTGTGTGTGTGTGTAATATATATATATATATATATATATATATTACATATTACAGACACACACATGCATATATATGGCCTAAATATGCGCGGCCAGGTGGCCAATCTTCAATGATTTTACATTCCAAAAGTAAGTGCAGAGTGTGAAGGTTGAATTAGCAGAACAAAATCACAGCTGTTCATAAAATAGGCCTATTGCAATCCACACAACATAATGGGAGACATATCAGAGTTCTAAAGAGGACAAATTGTTGGTGCACGTCTCGCTGGCTCTTCTGTAACAAGGACAGCAAGTCTTTGAGGTGTATCGATAGCTATGGTATTCAGGGTAATGTCGGCGTACCACCACGCAGGATGAACCGCATCAAGGATGTATTGATAAAATTGATAAAAACTGATAATAAAGATTTATATTGTTAGAAAAGATTTCTATTTTAAACAAATGCTGTTCTTTTTAACTTTTTATTCATCAATGAATCCTGGAAAAAGTATCACAGGTTCCAAAAAAATATTAAGCAAGTTAAGCAACACAACTGTTTCCAACATTGAGAATCAAATCAACATATTAGATTGATTTCTGAAGGATCATGTGACACTGAAGACTGGAGAAATGGCTGATGATAAATTTTATTTTAAAGTGTATTAAAATAAAAAATAAATAAAAACATTATTTTAAATTGCAATAATATTTCACAATATTACTTTTTCTGTATTTTTGAAAAAATAAATGCAGGCTTGATGAGAGTAAGAGACTTCTTTCAAAAGCATTACAAATAGTAATGTTTTCAAACTTTTGACCAGTACTGTATATGTAAGCGTATAGAACGAAGGCCAGTGAAAATGTTGGCAGGGCCAATAAAAGCATGACATACTGGCCCGACTGGGCTGGCAGAAAATAAATTCTTACAGTTAAACTCTGAGACGAATAGAACTTAAATGCAACATAGACAGGCAGAAATAAAGACTGTCTGGCTGAAGATAGATAGATAGATAGATAGCAGACAGGCAGGCAGGCAGGCAGGCAGAGAGACACACAGAACATAAAGTGACATCACAGACATACAAATTAAGCTAATTAACATGTTAGACAGATAGATAGAGAGCCAGAAGAAAGGAGTGGGATATTAATTCAGACAGTATGGGTGTGGGTGCGTGTCTCACCGTGGCTTTAGCTATGATGAACACGGACTCTTGACTCGCCAGACTCACATCCGGATCTGCTTTCATCAGTGTTTTGATGCGGGACAGCGGTAACTTGGCGAGGCGGTTCTGCTGCGCGCCCGCGGTGGGCCCAGTTTGCCCATTCCCTCCGTCCTCCTCTGGCTCGGTGCCCCGGGGCTCGTCTTCAGCTCGGTCCAAATCCGACTCCACGGGAGCTGCTGACACAGTCGCCGCCATTGACGCACGCGGCGCTTAATAGAACGCGCCGTAAACCGAAAGCGGATAGTCTAATCTTCTCCCGCCAAATCTGTCTGTAAACACAACCTCGAGGCGGACGGCGGAACAGACGTCACAGCGCAACGTCACTAGAGGATCAACTAATTCCATCCAGTAAAGGTAAGTTAAAGTCCATTAACGAGCGGCATTGCACTTTATTTTAAGGAAGGTTGATTTTTAATTAATCACAGATGACATGTTATTTCCTCAGTTCATGATGAGTCATTACTCTTAAAATTTACTCTTTACATTACTCTTTTTTTCTATTGTTTATTTTTTATTTTTTTTATTTTACAGTTGGAAATTTTATGTGTTGCTGTCTTTTTATTTTATTATCTTCTTTTTCTTTTTTAAATTGTTCGAAATAAAGATTACATTACATAGTACAGAACATTTTGTAAACTCCACTAACGTTACATCCATTCATACCTCAGCTGCTGCGCGTAGAAGAAAAAATAGGGAAAAATTGGGATTTGGTGAGGAACTTTCTATATAAAATTTAAATCTCTGAGTAAATAATTGGTTTAATGCTTAAATTAAATGTTTAAAAAAATAGGCTATACAATCATTTCATACATTTAATCTCATGCCTCAGTACGTCAGAATTGATTTTAATTGCTTTGTCATCATATATAGGCTACCATGCATGGTAGGCTACCATGAACGAATACTGTGGTATTCTTTTAATTATTTTTTATTTGATTAATATATGGTAACTATTCAGTACCATGGTAAATGGAAGATAGGCCAGTGAATGTTTCGTTTGGTACAGTGGGTTTATTTTTGAAAGTCAGTGTGTGCATACTAGACACATCTTGGCTAACCCAAAAGACCTACTGAAATAGGGGGTCAAAATAAACTGTATTGGTTTTAATGATTTTCTTTAGAAAGAAAAAAGAAAAAAAAGGGTGTCATATAATGACATCATTAAAATAATACACAGATATTTTAATCAAATGTTTATTTGTCCACTTTTCTTAATAATAATGGGTCAGTTGTATCCCCTTATATGCATTCTTAGGGTATACAAAAATTATTTTGTTTTCCATATGACCAAGAAACAAGTTTTTTGAGGAATTTATGTATAAATAATAATAATAAAAAAATAATTTCATTGATAAAATAACTGGTCCGAAAACCAGTCAGTATCTGGTGTGACCACCATTTGCCTCACGCAGTGCAACACATCTCCTTCGCATGGAGTTGATCAGGTTGTTGATTGTGGCCTGTGGAATGTTGGTCCACTCCTCTTCGAAGTTGCTGGATATTGGCAGGAACTGGAACACGCTGTCGTATACGCCGATCCAGAGCATCCCGAACATGCTCAATGGGTGACATGTCCGGTGAGTATGCTGGCCATGCAAGAACTGGGATGTTTTCAGCTTCCAGGAATAGGCTCTATGCACGATCGCTTCCGCGTTTTGTCTCAGCCCGCCCAGTTACATCCGGTGCTGCGTCAGAAGCCGTTTTTTTGCATTATTGGAGATAATGGCAAATTACACTCGCTGTTTACAAAAACGTCCCGCGGTTAACGTAAATGATGTTTACAATATTGTTAGGCAGTTAGCTGTCACACATAAGAGTAAGAAAGAGAAGGGTTAAAAATGATATTTTTCGAGCTACATCGACAACTTTGAGGGTGAGTATTCTCTCATATCATGTGAAATCCGACTAGCGAATCAGTTTCTAAAATCGTTGTCTCTTTTCTGAGAAAATGAATTTTATTAAAGTTTTGCAGCTATACACTTAACGCTATGCGGAAGTAAGGACGCGGGCTGAGATTCTACCGGAAATACGTCAGCAGCGTTCGTGCATAGAGCCTATTGTGTACAGATCTTTGCAACATGGGGTCGTGCATTATCATGCTGCAACATGAGGTCGTGGATGAATGGCACAACAATGGGCCTCAGGATCTTGTCACGGTATCTCTATGCATTCAAAATGCCATCAATAAAATGTACATGTGTTTGTTGTCCATAACATACGCCTGCCCATACCATAACCCCACCGCCACCATGGGCCACTCGATCCACAACGTTGACATCAGCAAAACGCTCTCCCACACGACGCCATACACGCTGTCTGCCATCTGCCCTGTACAGTGAAAACCATCGAATGTGAGCAGTTGCCCACTCAAGTCGGTTACGACGACGAACTGCAGTCAGGTCGAGACCCCGATGAGGACGACGAGCATGCAGATGAGCTTCCCTGAGACGGTTTCTGACAGTTTGTGCAGAAATTCTTTGGTTATGCAAACCGATTGTTGCAGCAGCTGTCCGGGTGGAAGATGCTGGATGTGGAGGTCCTGGGCTGGTGTGGTTACACGTGGTCTGAGGCCCCATCCACACTACTGCGTTTTAGTTTAGAAACGGAGAATTAAAACGAATACGATCTCCGTCCACACCAGCGTTTTATCTGCGTATTAGAATTGATCTCCGTCCACATTAAAACGACTGAAAACGCGGATCACGTGACCATTCACCAACACTGGGCATGCGCGTGCCGGTGTAAACACAACTTCATTGATAAAATTATCCCACCATGCTCTGGGTTAACCCCAAACCGACGCTCCATTTACGGTCAACGCCGCCGCTGCACACAGGAATTGTCACAGATCGCTCGAATAATAGCTTGACTCCGGCGCATGTAGGCAGTTATAGCGTTGTAAAATGCAGAATTTACTTGTACAACAGCTGCTAGCAAAGATATACGCCATGACTGATAACACCCAATCATAGAGCCGAGCGTGAGCCTCTACTACGTCATCGTTTCTAAAGTCCTCCGTTTTGACCCGTCTACACTAAAACGCCCTCCGGAGATTCAAAACGAAAAACGGATTGGCAGCGTTTCTAAACTTCTCCGTTTTGGTTCTCCGTTTTTGCCGTTTTAGTGTGGACGGGAGGTGCAAACGTAGCAAAAGGTCTCCGTTTTTAAACGAAAACGCAGTAGTGTGGACGGGGCCCTGAGGTTGTGAGGCCGGTTGGATGTACTGCCAAATTCTCTGAAACGCCTTTGGAGACGGCTTATGGTAGAGAAATGAACATTCAATTCACTGGCAACAGCTCTGGGGGGCATTCCTGCAGTCAGCATGCCAATTGCACGCTCCCTCAAAACTTGCAACATCTGTGCCATTGTGCTGTGTGATAAAACTGCACATTTTAGAGTGGCCTTTTATTGTGGCCAGCCTAAGGCACACCTGTGCAATAATCATGCTGTCTAATCGGCATCTTGATATGCCACACTTGTGAGGTGGATGGATTATCTCGGCAAAGGAGAAGTGCTCACTAACACAGATTTAGACAGATTTGTGAACAATATTTGAGAGAAATAGGCCTTTAGTGCGCACAGAAAAAGTCTTAGATCTTTGAGTTCAGCTCATGAAAAATGGGGGCAAAAACAAAAGTGTTGCGTTTACAATTTTGTTCAGTGTATATATCTATATATATGTATAATACAAGTGGTCACAATCACATACATAAAATAAATAAGACCATTGTTTTGGCCAACAAAAATTATTATTAGTAAAGTGTAATTCAACATATAATACAATGCATGACTTTCTCCAAGTGACAACCTGCCCCAACCAGACATTTATATGATGATATTGGAATATTATTTTATTTTTATTTTATATTTACTGGTTCCCTATATCAAGTATGTGTTATTATTATTACCATCTGTTACCATCACAATTATTGCTTTTTGTATGAGTAGGATATTTGCATGCAGCATTTGCACAGCTTCATTGAGGTGTGTTGCAGGTTGGATTATTACATTATTCTAATTGGATTGAGCACAGGCGATCGGTGGAGGATTAAAGACTGTAGAGTGAGAGGTTATAGAGCTGTTCTCTACATTCACTCATACAGACACCAGCATGAAGGATCCACAGCTACCAGGTAAAGTTTTTTTCTCATGGAATAGAGTATGGAGAGTTTTCAATCAAACAGTAAGGGAGTGCAAATATAAGATCTTATTCACTGAATCATATTGACCATTTTTAAGTGTTCTTTTGAAAGGCACTTTATCTTATAGGGCAACACTGTTTTAATTATTCTCTGCCATGTTAGACATGTTTTATGTGCAATAGTACACATGTCAGGACAGGTTGCATGGATTATGAACAATATAACAACCGAAAAAAAAGAAAAAGAAAATGAAAGTTTTTTTTGCTTACAAGACAAATGTGATCCTCTGTTATTTGCATACAGTGCATGTGCTTGAGATGTAATGTTGTTGAAGTATAACATGTTGTTAAGTATAATTTCAACAATAAACACAGTTTTGATCTGCAGGCATTGGTTTTTAAAGATGATGAAGGGTCTTACAGTACAGTGAGTCCAATAATAAACATTAAGATGTAATATTATTTGATGGCCAAGAAGAATTTTTTTTGTAGTTTTGTTTAAATTCAATTTATTACACTGATTTAGATTTTTATTTTGTTATTCCAATGTAATAACATTATATTAAAAACGGCACTTTATTTCAATGTGTCCTTGTTACACATTACTTGTATAATACGGTAACTACAAATTAGGCACAATTACATGCAACTAACCCTAAACCAAACCCTAATCTTACCCTAACCCTATAGTGAGTACATGTAGTTCATTAATATTTCTCTGTAATCTTTAATGTATAATAACATTGTAACAGGTACACATTCAAATAAAGTGTAACAATGAAAAGTAGTATCATTCGATTAAGTCTTATTTATTCCCAACTGTTTATTTTCTTCTTGTAGTTTTGGTATTACTGATGTTGAAAGTTCAGTGGATATTCCGTGTATTTTTAGAAGCATGTCGAGTCTGCAACCTGTGATGCGTGGTCTTAAAGACTCCTAATCCACCCTACTTAAGGACTTTCCTATTCAGACGTACAAGGCTGATCTTGCCTCCAGCGCAGACACACAGGACATTTGAACTAAAATAGAAAGGACATGCAGTCATGGATTAGGATTATACAAGAACGTATAGAGAGATGTGACTCAAAATATGTCAAATTAAATTTGTGATCAGAACAATTTCTCTTCAAAAATAACATTTACATTTTGTGATATTTCAAAAGGGTGTTCAACATGTAATTTCAATATGGTGGTGTCATGCACGTCTCATTTTAAGTTTAGGTCTTTAAGTATATAGGGTTATGCCGTACTATAGTTTAATTTCAGTCATTTTTAAACTTTAACCTCTCGTAGAGTAGTGGCCAAAATTGTATTATTGGTATGTTTCATTGCATTATCACAGATACATTTATAATCATTTTTGAATGAAGGATGGAGATGTCAATTATCACTTTTTTGGATACTTATCACTTGTATGTCTCAAAGATAATAGAAATACTCAATCTTTTTTTTAAAGAATATATAATGAGACTTTGCAGCTATAATTGCAGCTATAATAAGAGTTTTTGTATAGCATAAAAATGACTATATTGTATTGGCCTCGATGTTCGATTCTCTAGTAGACTATTACGAGCAGATTTCCTATACTGTCATGATCCCTGTTCACCCTATCTTTGTAAGGTTAAGCCTCTGTAAACCTTTCTTCCAACATGGAAGGTCATCAAGAGGAAGTGTCCCAGTCTGTGGAGACTGACTTATACTTTTGGCCATTGCTTTTACATTTCAAGACTTTTACAAACTTTAGGAGACAATTGATTTATATTTCTCATGACATATCTTGATTTAAAGACTTGATCAAATTATTTTTTAAACAGTTACTACATTAAAAGGAAGGCTCCTGCAACTCTAAATAATTTTTAGAATGTAAAATCATGTAATTGTTACCCTTTTTTACCTGGTTTAACTCATACAAAGTAGTTTTGAATTTTTAGGTTGATTCTGTGAATCTCTTTAAGAATTTAAGTTGATTCTTGTTATGGATAGTCTGTGTTTATTTCTGTGTAGGTTGGGTTTTGTCACATGTTTTAGTTGGTTTCTTCATCGTTTAATTAATTTGCATACCTGTTGTTCTTTCATTGATTGGTTTGTTCTGTGTATTTAAGCCCTGTTTCTTGTTCAGTTCAATAAAGAGAAGACTGCTGTGTTTAAATCCTGCTTTTATCCACCCTTTTTTTATTATTAATTTGAGTAATTTGACTTTGCTGCCATTTTCAATCATCCTGAATCTTTTTGTCCCATTCAAGGTACCAAAATACTAAATGTCTTGAAGCGACATGGGAAAAAAGGAAAGAATGAGCCAGTGGCCCAACCTGCACAGACAGAACCAGAAAAACGCAAGGTTCCGTTACTAACACCTGAACAACGAGCGAAGCAGACAGCCTTCGAGAGGGTCCTCTATGACATGTCCCACAATGACCGGATCATCGATGACGTTATGCTGGGCCGATTGCTTTCTATGAACTCAGAGGGGAAATAGGGACAGGAAATTTCTCCCAGGTCAAACTGGCTGTTCACGCTTTGACTAAAGGTGAGACAATCAGTGATCGATTTCAGTGTGTTAATTACTTAAAGTGTCCCTATTATGCTATTTGAAAGGTTCCTATTAGGGGTGGAACGGTACACAGAAGTCACGGTTCGGTTCATACCTCGGTTCAGACATCACGGTTCGGTACGATTTCGGTACAATGGAGGGAAAAGCAAAACAAAAATGCAGAAGGCATTGTATTTTTTAAATAAGTTTTATTAATAAAAGGCATAGAACCAGTTTATTTGTAGTGCACTGACAATAGTTTTATATAATTAGTTTATTAATTAACTTAATGAAAAGACAAAAAGACCTTGCAATATGTTTGGTAATTGTACCTGAATTAATTTAAAATTAATTTGCAATATTTCAGATCAATATATTTGTTTTCCTTAATTTTAATTAACATTATTAATTAACAATGTAACATTATTCTCATCTGAATTATAAATAATTGATTTCTGTATAAAATAATACTACCATTAATAACGCATTCGATTTTCTTTTTTAATCAATGTAGAATGTTTAAGATTAGTGCTCCAAGGACGAGAAATGAAAACCAATGCGATGAATGTCCAAACGAGTTGGATAAATATGTTTTGCTTTTAAAACAGTGTGTGTGTGTGTGTGTGTGTGTGTGTGTGTGTGTGTGTGTGTGTGTGAGAGAGAGAGAGAGAGAGATTTTGGTTGGGTGACAGTTGTAGGTTACAGTTTGACAAGAGTTTACAGTGTGACAAAAGCACAATGTTGTGTTTTATTGCGAGTGTACACAAATATAAGTAAACACTTTGCAGGTTTAATGATCTGTATGAACAAAATGACGGAGTATGTTTTTTATGTTTCCACTGTTCGATCGCGGCCGCGCCTCTCTCTCACACACACACACACACATAAACACACACATTGCAATCTTGACATCGCAGCCTGTTCATTATGTGGTCACACCAAACGCGAATAGAGCGTTAAATTCGCGTCTAGTTCGACGCTAGTCCAAAGCGAATAGGACGCGCGTATAAACCAACGTTTGAAGTGAACGCGCGTTCAGAGCTAAGCCGATGGTACAGATTATGTGTCCCTAAAGAACCCGCGTATCTAACAGTAGTTCCGCATTACATTAATTAATTTCCACGCGAGTTTTATTTATTTTTATACCGTGTATTCTCCGTGTAAATTCGTGCACCGAACCGTGACGCCCGTACCGTTTCGGTTCGGTACGAATACATGTACCGTTCCACCCCTAGTTCCTATAGTTTTGTTTTGGAGGTCTCCTACAATAGGTTTACATGCATCCAAAGTAAAAAAAACAACAACACATTTTCTCATAATATGCATTGCACCTCCCGTGTTTTCTCACATTGTCTGAAATGATTCAAAGGATTCAGTTTCTCTGAACCCCTCGTTTCCGCAAGCCTACTCTGCTCTGATTGGTCAGATGGCCCAGTCTGTTGTGATTGGTCAAACAATAACAGCGCATGTCGAAATTAAACACTCATTACCATATCTGAATTTCAGCTCCAGAGGCTTCCTCAGCACTTGATACACAGTGATACGTAGGTTTGCAGGAAGTAAGACTGGAATTACCGACGACTCGTTTCAGGCAGTTCAGAATCAGTTCTTCTTTTGGGAGACAATAACTCCACTGCATGGAACGGTACGGTTCGGTACGGTACGGCACGCTTTTGGCGCTTTTCCACTGCTTGGTACAGTACGGCTCGGTTCGGTACGGCTCACTTATGGCGCATTTCCACTGCATGGTACGGTACGGTACGGCTCGCTTCGGCTCGCTTTAAATGGTACCTGGTCTGTTGAGGTTCCAAGCGTACCGTACCGATACTAAAATGTGACGTGAAAACACTACAGATCACTGATTGGTCAGACAGACAGAATCGTCACTATCAGCGTCATTGTATTTGCGACACGAGACACTAAACCCACTAGATTTAAATAGCCAGTAGACAACAGCCACCGCTGTAGCACCTGTTTTAAAACTACTTGCTTGACTTGCTTGAAGAAAAAAGAAAGAAAGAAAACTTCCATAAAAAAGAAATGGCTGAATCGTGGTCAGTGGACGAAGTGCAGACGTTCGTCTCGTTGGTTGCCGAGGAGCGGATAAACTATAACGGTCCGACTATAATCCCACCCACTTTGAAGCGGTACTAACTGCAGTGGAAAAGCAAACCGAGCTAAAGCGAGCCGAGCCGTACCAAGCAGTGGAAAAGCGAAGCAAGCCGAACCGTGTCGCGCCGAGCCGAGCCGTACTGAGCCGTACCGAGCCGTACCAGCAGTGGAAAAGCGCCAATATTGTGCACTTTAAAGTTTGCATACTTTTTACATTCACAAACAGCTATATTACACACTACATGAAAGGTAATATTTGAAGCATAAATAGGGGTACTTTGAGTTTAATAAGGCTTTGGAGAACTGTACATAGAGTGGCCCCCAAAAAATATTTGGACACTTATGCCACATTGTCTGAATGTGAATGGAAATATTATAAATCAAATAGAAACAAGTTACCTGTTCGTTCTCAGGCTAAAAACATTTAGGGAAAAGTTATACTTAAACTATATTTCCTAAAGTTTTGTCTGATACCGATTACTTAATAATTATATTAATACATATATGATGCCCTATATAAGACTAATATATTATCATTATTATTATTATCACCAATTAATATAAATAATTAATAATTTATATATGCTACAAGTGAATTTAGGCATCACAACATTATAATTTACAGTATGAAAAGTAAGATATCAATTTTGATATTTGCTAAAAATGTGTTTTTTTTTTATTTATAAATATATATTTTTAAAGGATTAATTTTAAGTGTGAATTATTGAATTATTTATAAATTATATAATACCGACCTATATTGTGCATCTCTAATTTTAAGGATATTTTTAATGTCAAAATGCTTTATGGGGCCACTGCATGTGCAAGTTAGGTTTTTATTTAATAATATGGCCAAATTTGCCCAGTGGCCTCTGTCCATCATGGCCTCCTAATCATCCCCATATATATATATACTATATATATATATACACTGATTGGCTTCATCACTCTGTCTCCTCTCCACCAGTAAGCTGGTGTGCGGTGAGCGTTCTGGCGCACTATGGCTGCCGTCGCATCATCCAAGTGGATGCTGCACATTGGTGGTGGTTGAGGAGATTCCCCCTTCCATGTGAAGCGCTTTGAGTGCCTAGAAAAGCGCTATATAAATGTAATGAATTATTATGAATTATTATTATATGTGGGTTTTTTTTATATTTTTTTTAACATTTCTTAAAATATAAAATATTTCAAAGTAGACATTTAAAGTCAGCATGAAATGAAAACTCCTACTTAATCTCATGAGAAAACATAACTATTTTACGAGGTACCGATTACGTATGAATTTGTGTGATTTGATTCACACAAAAACATGTGATTTTTAGAATAAAAGTAAGCATGAAGCAGATTAAGCAAAAACGTAAGAATGAGATTGTACAAATTTATACGAATTAGCCACTAATTTGCCAAAACAAAATAGTTACAAATTGGCTTGAGACTGTGCAGGTCAATTCACCTTTTCTATTTTCGAAATATGTTATTGATCTTATTGCGAATTATTCATCTGCATATGTTTTTCTTTTTGACCTCTTAATTTTTAAACTCAATCTTCTCTCTCGTGACGTTTTCCTGACTTCTCCAACCATTGAGTCTGTTTAAACGCAAGCGCGCATAAATTTGCCTCTTTTTGAGTGCAACGCCCACATCTCGAAATCCAACTACAACCAATGAATAGAACCAAGTTTTCTTTTGCGAGAATCTGTTGCACTCTAATGTACACAGTATTGAAGAAAAGGCAGCACAGTTTAACAGGGTCTGTTCATGTCAGTGACCACGAGTTGATCTGCTCATGTAATCTCATCAGATTTACAGCACCCCCTCTGTGAATCTCTTTAATATTTTTGAGAGGATTGGTGAGATACCTCTTGAAATTAACACAGCAGGGAGGCTTCTCAAAAATTTCCACATCTAAAAAAAAAAAAAAACTTTAATAAGATTTTAAGCCTGATATATGCTCATTTATTATGATATAGTCAAATATGGTGCTCATAAACTGCAGGATGACGTTATATTTGATACTCACATTTTAAAGGTAGGGTAGCCTATGTCTCGGGTGGTTGCTGGCAGACAGATGAGGAAGACGTGTACGATTCAATTCAAAAGGTTTATTCTCTGAGGCCCCGTTTAAACGTGGTTATTTTGAAAAACGGAGACATTTCCCTTCGTTTACATGCAGAGAATTCGCCTCTGAAACCGATTCTTTCTAAAAACTCCGGCCAGAGTGGAGATTTTGGAAAACTTCGTTTGCACGTTTGCATGTAAACTGAGAAAACTGAGTTTTAGGCAGCCGTATTTAGCTGTATAAACGCAGCCTAAAGATTCAACAGGAAGGCAAACGGATAGCAACACACACTGAACTTAGGCTACGTTTACACATAGCTGGGTATTTAGAGAAACGAATATTTTCCCCCTCTCCGTTTTCAAAAATAACATCGTGCACACACCCGCATAAATACGCCGTCGAGCGCCATCATAACTATGCCAAACCTATGGGCGGCAGTGTAGGGAGAAGGATAAAGCCATGCAAGCCAATCAAAATCCTCAGAATCGACAAGAGAGAACCCTAAAACCCCGTTTCTCCCAGTTTACACGGCAACACATAACCGGCGTTTTCAGAAATCTCCACTTTGGCCGGAGTTTTTAGAAATAATCGTTTTCTGTGATAAAAACGGCGTTTTCGTGTAAATGAGAGGGCAAAACGCAGAGAAATATCTGCGTTTTCCCATCATGTAAACGGGGCCTTAGACAATACCGGACACTGGACTGAAACAGAACTGAACATATACAGGTGTTAATGATGGTGACTGATGAGTGCCAAAGTCCTTTTAGGCAAGTCATGCCACTCGGCCGCCATCTTGGCAACGCCTCCGGGCAGCTATTTCGGACTA